GCCCGAGAAGGTGGACGTATCACCGACAGCGGTGTCATCATCGTTGGTCGAACGATATCGTTCCAGTTCGTGAAGGAGGTATGGTTCTGCGTACCGAATCCCCAAGACACGCATTCCTTTGCTCTGGTGGAAAAGATCTATGACGAACGATTGGAGAAAGAGATGGTGCTGAATTACTACGGATCCCCGTTGCTCCCTGAGTTCGAGAGATATCGTACGCCAAGCAAGCTCATGGAATTGCTTTGCGAGATGCCTCCAGGACCTCATGACACAAGCAAGGAGCAGATGCTGCGAGACCTTACGACTGTGTTGGAGTCCCACCGGGAGAACACGGTTCGGCATCACTTCATGGACAAGGCCATAAAGTTTGTCATCAAGAACTGGCGACCCGAAGATCTTCGAAGAGACGAGGACGGCAGGAGAATGAGGGTGTGCCCGGCATGCTACAACATCGTTCCCGCATGTTTTTCTCGATGCACGTCTTGCTGGTCACAATTCGTTTCTTGCGGTTATTATCAAGGTGCTCCACAACGGGATACTCCTACGGAGATTCCGAGTGAATTCATTGCCCAGACAATGGAAGCTGCAGCTGCAGTGGTACCTGAGACGACCGTCGAGGAACAGGAGGCCATGGAGGTAGAGACGGTTGGGGAACCTGAAGGAATTCCAGAACCATCCGTCGCAGGCGGTGATGATCCAGAACAGGAACCTGATGAAGAGATGGACGCCGAGCCAGAAGCGGACTTTGATGACGAAGTACCTGATGCAGTCGCGCAGGAGCGACGTCCGGTCCTCATCGCTGGTCAGCCCTTGAACATCGACCCTGAACTGCAGATTGCCCGTACCGCCATGCAACCACCTGATTACCACGGCAAGCGAAATGCTCATTGAATTGACGCCAACATGGCAGCTCTTTCGTATATGGCATTCGTGGTATGCAGGTGCATCTACAAGACATGGTCAGGATTCGCGAAATGGACGACTATGCCGCTGTTTCAGATGAAAGAGAATCTCGCGATGGGACAACGCTATGATGTACTCGGCAAATGGGGGGCTCTGGCTGAAGTGGACCCAGGGACCGGTGTGAGCAAGGAGGTGAGTGATGAGGAAATCCTTTGCTTTGCCAAAGAACCCGAGAACATCAAGTCGTATGATCCCAACGGGACTTACACTCTGAAGCGCTTCCGGACGAACCAGATGGTCTCACTATTGGTCAGGGGAGCCAACATGATGGGAATCGGCAGGGACAACTTCAATCCAGCCACTTACCTGAAGGGTGAGAGGGAAGAAGACGTGAAAGCAATGCACTTTTGTTGCCTGAACGTCCTATGCGAAGTTATCCCCATGGTGACAGGACACTCTCAGTTTTCGGTGCTACGACCCACACCATATGGACCGGTGGAATTCTTGTACATCGACCCGGTCGGTATTCTCTTGACACATGCAGATCACTCTGTCCAGACGATTGGCCTACTGGTGGATCACAACGTACAAATGCCATCGCATCTTTTGGACAAGTTGGTCAAAGCCAGAGTCGAAAAGGAACAGCACCCGAACGCCCGACGTCCTGGAGCATTACACCATATCTCCGCCGAAGAATATCTCCCGCAGGGTGGTACTTCCATCATGGACACGCCCGTCACAACAGAGGAACGCGCAAGCGCTTCGTCGACAAGGGCATCATCGAAAGGCCGTGGGAGAACTGGAGGTGGTCAACATGGAGATTGGAACACCAATTCCTACCATGACTACATCACCAGTAAAGGCCGAAGCAAAGGCAAGGACAAGGGAAAGCAGCAAGGTCAGAATCCAGAGGAGAACCTCAGGCCCTGGGAATGCGATCCCGCGTCGACGAGAAGATGGTGGAGAGACAATGCCTGACCCACGACATCTTCTAGCATGTGACCTCTGCATTCCGCACGCGGATTTCATCGCGAATGCTTCTTTCTTCGGTGACGCCTGATTCGTTTGCCATTTCAGGGGATCGTTACCGACGTAGTTGAGTGTCACAACGCTTTTAATTGGGATGCAAGGCTCTGATCCATATGTCAAAGTTGCGGCGGAAATTTTCTGATCTTCCTATCGTGCCATCTTCCGGGTGAGCAGCGTCTGAGACGCAACTCATGGGGGGTGCGAACGGACTACGATGCCTTGTCAAGTTCTAAGGTGTCACTATAAGAGCTGTGAGCAAGACCATGTAAAGTGCAAGAGAGGAGGCACGCCACGCGTCCCTCGTCTCTAGGTGTAGGCTTGTGGAAGTGCTACGCACACCGCAATGCCTACCCAACCTGTATGTATGACCGCCCATGCAACATTGGCTCAAGAATGAGCACAAGCTCTAGAAAGCATTGCCCGTAGCTAAAATAGCTACTTGTCTTCTGTGACATCCGAGGGACAGAGCCATCCCGTGCACAGACGATCCATCGCTGGCCGCGAGGGTGCAAAACAAGCGAGCTCTGGATCTGCCTGCATAGGAGCGTGGCTTGTGAGTGTGGAAGCAGGTGTGACAGTGATCGAGTCTGTAGAGGGCAACCACTCCATTATTCAACATAGCTCTTTGTGGGGTGAGCGACAGGGAACATCATCAAGATCAAATCCCCACGCAGTACTATACTATATTATATTAACATTTATATATATATATATATATATATACATATATATATATACAGGTATAGGCATAGAGTGCTACATCGGTTGTTAGAGTTCGAGCATCCTTGCTACTGTTGCTATTGCTGCTGGTATGATACTGCTAGCTACTAACTGCTCTTGTCACTGTTTCTTATTGGGACGAGCTTTTGGGGGCATGCTGTAGTAGACTTTCAATGAGGAGCCCTCAGGAGCACGTCAAAGTCAATTATTCAGGCTTCGAACAAAGCATATGTGCTGGGAGCCCAGGAACCCAGGAGCCCGGAGCCAGCTTGCCCAACTGACGAGAACCATGGTAAGCACATCGACGGTCACGGCTGTTACTAAAGCAATAGTAGTCAGAACCAAAAGAAAGAAGTAGTAGTGTCTGTATAACAAGGACAGCAAATTTCATGGTGGCAATACAAGCCATACTTGCTATGCAAGGTTTTAGGGGCTCTGAACAGAGGGCGTCACACAGGTTTAGCGGATGTTGTACGGTTTATTATGTGTTGTTGCTCCGGGTAGTGAAGGTTCAGTTTTCAGAGTTTGGTATGTAGCCGTGGCGACGAACGAACCTTCATATCAGAAGAACGCTCCCTTTCGTGGGTAGGCGACTGCCACCGCTATTAGCAGGCCACGGCCGTGGCTTAGCACATTCAATTGTCCGAACATATCCCCTCGGCTGACCTATTGCAAACTGTTACCTTCTAGTAGTCGTTGAGAAATCGGCATCGAAGCAAAGCAGAAGCTCGTCTGAACAGAGAGTTCTTTCGTCCAACGCCGTGTCGCTTGACTGGTCTTATGTCTTGCATGATGTACGAATGACTTGAAGGCCGAACTCGCGGCCATCCTCAAGTGCTGCCGCGGCGAGCTCAGCCGTCTGTATAGTCTGCAGCCCCGCGCAGCCAGCCCTCGATTCACTTTCGAATACGTAATTTGTGAATTTGCACGACTCTTGCGTTGTGGTTCAGCATCAATCATCCTTGCGCTCTCCGGATGTTTTGCCATCTCCACTCACCCGAACTGTTTCCGGATGGCTCCAGGTGTGCAGCTGATCAAGAATGGCATGAAGATCGCAGCCTTCGTGCCGAGGCCATGTTTGCATTCTCTATCCCGTGCATTAGGCCCTCTCCAAGAAAGTATGTGGCACACTTGACATGGCGTGCAAGGGATGGCTGCCTGAACTTCCATTGCTGATGAGAACGATGATTTGTTGGTCTTTGGCTTCGGGCGACGAGGTCACGCAGTTGGTGCCCCAGCAACGTCAAGGGCTCACTCTATATACTAAAGGCTTCGAGTGCCCCGTGCATTGAAGTAGGTTGGTGACATTCCTGGCGTTCGCTTCAAGGTCGTGAAGGAGGGGCAAGGGAACTTGCAAGTGTGTCCAGTTTCGGGGAGGAACAGCAATGTTGCATTGTTTGCGCTTGGTTCGCAGGTGGCAGGCTGCCGCCTGGACAGGAACAAGAAGGATCTGCGAGTTTGTCCTTTGGAACTGTCCCTGCTCCGGCTGCATGGACGGACGGATGCCTTTGCCTCGGAAAATGAACGCCGATGCCGAGGAGAGATTTGTCTGCGCTTGTGAGTAAACAAGTTGACCATCCCTGACCCCAAGCAGGTCACAGCCCAGCCGCCGACATTGCTATCTCGCCGAGGCCGGCCTAGGCGTCGAAGCCCATTGCAAGGCTGGGTTCTCTTTGTCATATTAACCTGTGACATCGCACCAGTGGCACTTACCCAGATCGTCAGACTTAAGTCCGTTCACTTGCCGAAGGGAAGCACCCAGGATCCGGCTCTGAAAGATCGATCTTATTTTGTGCAATCCCTTGATGCTGTGTGTGTATCACAGTACAAGCAGTGTGAGAATGGTGTTTCAAGACAGATGAGACAACACACCTGTCGGCTTGGGCATCTCCTACAAGCGTTCTGGTTCCGGAGTGCGAGACTGTGCGCGAGCACATCGTCATAGCGCATCTGTAGCAAAAGCGGAAAATCCTCGGCCTTGTCTTGCAGCTTCGGTGCCACGAGCGTTTCAGAGTTTCACATGCTGACCACAGCTTGGAGTAAGATCAGGGTGCCGGTTTGTTCCTGCCAGTGCATGGAAGACGCACCAAGCCCAAACCGTTTCGACCAGACGAGCGGGGCCAGGTTGTTTTAAATGCGCTTCTTTCTGCGAGAAGCACGCCTTTTGACACCTTGGACAGAAGCTCTTGAGCGGCGACTAATCATGCAACCGCGAGAAAAGCAACCCTGCTCCGAAGTTTTGAAAGGACTGGAGGATGCTGCTCCACTTGGCAGTTTTGACCTCCAACTCTTCAGCTGTGCGAGCCTTGGGCTCAAAGCGGTGAGGCCGGCGCGGGGATTTCGGCGTGATGATGTTGCCTTGGACGGTGCTGATCGCAAGCATTGTGTCGTCCGCAAGCCTCGCGCCTGCACCGGAAGAATGTGGGGATAGCCTTCCTACGATGAGGGGTTTCGACTTTGACTTCACAGCGACCTTCTTCGAGCTTGACGAGGCTTTTGACCTGCCCCCCAATGTGACAGCAGAAGAGATGGCCTCCAGCCTCGTCCCAGTTCCACCGACGAGCGGGATCTTCAACACCACTCCGAGAGTGAAAGCACGCAACGTGACGGGCACCTTCGGGATGCCACGTCAGGAGGATACATTCGCGGTTTTTCCTGGGCAAAGCTTCTACATCCGCTGGAGCGAGGACTCATGGAATGAGGAAGATTCCGACAGGCCGCCTCTCGGTTTCACGAGTCTCGCTTGCGGTTTTCGGAGCTCGTACAACGTCGGCGTCAAGAACTCCTTTGAGTGCACGGAGTATCTCTTCAATTACACTCTCGTCCTTGACATCACGCATTTCGCCCCAAATGCGTGCGAACCGCAGCGCATGGAGTTCATAGGTGTGAGGCGAGTGCCTTCGTTGCTTTTTGAAGCACTGCCAAGCCTGGGAGGTCCTGCAAGAAGCTTTTGTTGCATCCTGACCAGGTCTGCTGCCGATGCGCCTGCCGGCTTCACATTCGACCTTTCGACCTTTCCCTTGCCCGTCCTTTTGCTACTAGGCTCCATGCAGGTGGCAATGCACAGGTGGTCAGGTGTGTTTCGCCTATGCATTTCAGTTCCGATGTTCCTAAGCTCGACCTGTGCAGCTTGTTTCGTCAAATTCCACATATCCGGAAGTCTTTTGAGGTTCGATCGCCGGAGGGAGGCCATGCTCGGCACAGCAGTTCGCCGTCCCTCTCTACTACAAGAGGCATCAGCGCAGCCAGGGTACTACGGAACCCGCTCACGCTACAGTCGCTATGGCCGCAAGTGGCTTCCATGGCGCGCTCATAGCTACTTTCGCAAGCGCCGCGACGCAACACCGGGACAGCAAGCCACCTCGACCCCTGCCCCATCAGACGTTTGTGCTCGTCCAAGACTGAACGGCCTAACTTTGCCGATGACTGGAGTTGCATCCCAGCCAACGCAGACCTTGAACGTCGTGGGCCTTGCGAAGTTTACTGAGTACGATCAGAGCGGGTCAATCAGCGATGGTGGACCCTTCGTACTGATCGTTGCAGAACTGAACAACTCCGACGACAGTTCCCTGCCTGTGCAAAGACAGATCTTCCACTGCGCTTCCCTGAATTCCGGCACGGTTCTCTGCACCAATCAGTTCCTGAACGTGCTCGGGCGCGTGAACTTCGGAGCTTTGGGACGGGACTGCGTGCCTGAGCAGGTTCAACTGTTTGGCTTGTACAGGTTTCTGGAGGAAACCGCCTTCGGCCCAGTGTACTTTGAGAGTCCGGACTTCCCAAAGGACCTTTCGGGGAAGTGTAACGGTGCGTATCCGAACCTCGTGCAGCTCCAGTGCTACTTGAAAGCGGATGCGTTTTATGGTGGATTTGGTGGGTTCTTGACGCAGGAGATCTTGTCCGTCGAGTTCCAGGGCGATTTGGATGGAACACCACGAGTAGGTGGACGCCAAGTTCGATTCCGCGTTTGGACGAATGAGACCGCCGTATGCACCTTCGAGACCGTGGATACACTTGCATGCCTCTTCGAGAACACTTGCACGAACATCCGAGTCAAGGTGGACCTGGACGATCAGTGCAACGGGGTATCATTCGGATTCCTCGGTTCTTCGGGTGGATGGTGTTCAGGCGTGAGAGTTGAGGGCCCGAACGGGCCCGCCTACCGTTTCTATGTTCCACCGCCGACCGCATACAACTGGAACGGCTATTGTTTGCCGGCCGAAGGCAAATCTGCCTTCGAGGTGTACAACTGCGATTGTGTGCCCTATGGGTATCCCGGGTTTGAGTTCGAGTGTGCTTTTCAGTTCATGACGCTGGAGCGGTACATCGAGCTTGGCGTGCCTTGGTGTGTGGCGCTGTTGGGCGAATCGCCGAGCGAGTGTGAAGGAACATTAGAGATTTTTGCATATGCAGTCAACTACGCCTTTTCTTTTGGTGGGGATCCAATTATACCAACCTGGTGGACTTGTGATGCAGTCCGAAAAGCCGCAATTCAAAAGTTCCTTGACATCCCTTAAGCACGAAAGCCATAGACTTTCCGTGCACAACACCGATGCTCACATGCGGTGGCGTCCAAGGTTCGGCGTCCCCCGTATTGTTTTTACTTCACGGTCTTAAGAAGGCTGATGCCGGGTATTGTGGTATTTGCTGTCAGAGGACGCCGCCGACAATTTTGATTCCCCGGTGCTTGCTGCTTCACGCACGAAAGCAGAAGACTTTCCGTGCAGAAAGGTTCCACAGACAATGCCGATTCTCACACATGCGGCGTCGACAAAGACGATCTTGAACAGGCTAGCGTGCGTGTTTGCAGCTGATTTGTGTGGACGAATCTGGACGAGCACGGCCACCGGACTCCAGCCGCAGCAAGCTGTACTCAAGCCCAGCGGCCTGCCCAGTATCCACCGATCCCGGGTGTTGGGGCCTCAGGCAAATGTAGAGTGTAGGCAAATGAATCAAATGAACGAAGAACATGCGCAGCATGAGTTCTTACCGGCCTCGTCAGTTTCAGTCTCGTGCTGCGGCAGCTGCAGAGGCTTTTGCATGTTTGAATGCATGTGCGAAGTGGGAGATCTTCTGCAGCACCACGGCACCCTACAAGGCCAGCCCACGTGGCTGCTGTATGAGGCTCCAAAGCCAGCGCCCCGAGGCGCCGGGCTTTGTTCTTGGGGGCGAAGATTCTCAGTGCTGCCTTGAGCTCCCGACCCCTGGATACTCTTTGAAAATGGAGGCACGACCGTTTCATTACACGTCCATGTCGGCTCTTTCGTTGCACTTACAGTGCAAATCTTGCGATGCCAGATGTGAACCAGTGCCAGACAATCTCTGGTTTGGTTTCAGACCCATTCGTGGAGAGAGGCTACAGTATGTTGAACTGTTGTGGCAGTCCACAGCTGGCTGAAAAGCTAGCTACCTTTTCCGGTGATTCATGCCGGCGAAGCGATGGCAGCCGATCGCCGCGTTGAGGAGCCACGCAGCTGCATGGTTCCGGGTCCTCCTCCACCTCGCAATGCTGTGCCAGTGTGTCTCGCGCTTGATGAACTACCGATACGCAGCAGGCTTGCTGCTTGTCCTGGCTGCCCGCTATGCAGGAAGTGACTATGCCAACTAGTGAGTATGCTGGGTTCAGGTGTGAATCTGCTGGCCTTCTGCGAGATTTCCTGGGTTTACAGGAAGCTGCGCAAAGAGTTTATTGAATATTGCTTGCCATGGCGACAAGCCTATGAACATGCTTTCATCAAGACTCATATGCTGGCGCAATATTCGAAACACGGTCCTTTTTGGTCCACAGCGGATCACTTGTTCTGGTCCCCTTTGGCAGCGTGGGCCCTAGTTGCACGACTCGTAAATCTTCAACCTCGGTTACATGTCGGCTGGAGGTATTTAACATGCATTGGAGCCGTTCTGCAGGTATGCCACACGCTCTGGGGCTTCTTCTGCGAACGAGCAGATGATTTCGAAACAGAGCGCAGCAAACAGTCACGTACGATTGTGCGGTGGTGGGCTCCTTTGCCTTTGCCATCTCGATGCTGGCAGGGAAGGTGAACCACCGCTTCTTCTCCCACAGGTGCTTTCAGTCATCCCGCCTTTGGACCTTCTGTCTGGGAGCATTTGCCTGCATATCTTCGGAGACTCCGTTGCAGTATGCGTCGATTCATCGACGTCACCACAGGTTCTGTGACCAGGAGGGTGATCCCCATTCCCCTGGCCGCAAGGGCTTTCTCTATGCTTGGGCCTTCTGGAATGCTGACAGGGAGAACTTCGAAATCAAGTCCGCTTTTGTGCAGGACTGGCTGGCGAAGAATCCAGAGCTGCTACTGCTGGAGGTTTACGGCACGTATGCTAAGCACGTCCTGGACACAGTGATCCTGAGCGTTCTCATGGCATTGCTGGCTCCTGCCTGGTTGCCCTCCAGTCTGCAGTACCATCCGTTTACTGCAGCCTACGTCTTGGGAAACATACTCGCCAGCAATCTGTCACTTGCTTTCAACGCCTTCTCCCACGACAGCGCGAGCTCCGAGAAGCCGGGCATGTGCCAGGCCTGGGACATGCCGCTGTACGAATTTATTGGAGGCACGTTACTTCTCGGCACATGCTTTGTTCCGTCACGCTTGCCTTGCTCTTATGCTGAAGTTGGGAATTCCCTGATCTTGCCCTGAGTGGAGGAGGCAAAGCGTATCATTGGGAACACCACGACTTCCCGAACCTCGCACTCTATGGTACTTGGTACCTGGATGGCTCCTACTGCTTCTTTGCGGCGATGGCGCGGTGTGGGCTGGTGATGCAAAAACTGAGAAGTCGCAGAGCCACGCAATCTCGTGGTGATGCTAAGGCTATGCCGTGCCGTACACATATTCGGGGAAATGTTGGTCTTGACGACTGGCTCTCGAAGCTAGAGAGGGATTACGTAAAGTTTTCACGGACGCATTGGACCCGACCAGCGTTCAGATCGCACCATCAAGGGGCTGCGACGTGCCATCGGGTCGGAAAAGCTGCGCAGGCTGGTGCCTTGTGTGTGCGCACAGCCCCGTCGCACGATGTAGAGACAGCAGTGTCTGATGGCAGTTTGGCCAGGGGATCAGCTGCTTGGAGTGTATCGGCACTTTAATAACCAAGGCGGTGCGCACCTCTGAAGAGTCGCTTCCGCTCCGCAAAATCATGGCTGCAAGGCGACAGGTCGCAGTTGTTGGCTCTCTTTCTCTTGCGAATAGCCTTCTGCCACGTTCAGGTCCTTTATGTCCCTCTCGAGGGACATGGTCGGACCCACCGGGCCAGGTTCCTGCTCAGTGGAGTTGATCAGCTCTTGTGTGCCCATGCAAGACATCCGAGGTTTCGAGCCCAGGCCAGTTCTGAGCAGACTTGATAGGAAGCGAGCTACCGGTTAAAAGCACTCAGAGACTCTTGAAATCCAGAAATCGTGCGTTGGTGATTGCCCCTTGAAGAGGTGGCTCCTCCATTGTTTAAGGTGCATGTGGCCTTGGCTGCCGCAGTTGTGGAGTCTCAGGCGATTCACTCCTGCCATCATCGATCACGTATCCTGCATCTCGGATGGCTTTGGGACACTTGTTCATCGTGCTGCTGCTGTCGTTCGCTCCCAATGCGGCCGCGGACTGCACGGAGCCTTGACCACATGTAGAACACTGTAGGACATAATCAAAATGAAAGAGCACTTATGGCCTCTGTGGCTCTTCGATGGCAATGAGGCAGACTCTTGCGACGTTGATGCGGATGCCGCCGCTCTCGTGCAGCTGAAGGTCAAGGGCCCCGCCCAGGACATCCAGGACCTGCTCGCAGCCTTGTGCGACTGCGAGGACACTGCAGATAGTTTGCCCATGTGTAGCGGGCACGGCGCGTCAGTGCCCGTTCCGATCCGCTCCTCGTCGGTGGAGGACAAGTGTCCGCCAACCTTCGAGAAGGCCGGTGGCATCTTCTTGACGCTTGGGCTGGCCCAAGTATCCTCCATGAATTCATGCGTGTCGGCGTTCTCGTGGGATAGTGCACGCTAGCAATGGAGATCTGGTTACGTGTTAGGTCGTCTAGCCTGCAAGGGACAAACCCCTGCCGTCGGGGCGCCGCCCAGACCTTCGGACTCCCAGTTATCCCGAAGCCTCGTGCGCCGCTCAGGACGGGTTGCCTCAAGCAGATATCGGTGCCCGACGCATGCACGCGACTGCACCAGAAGTGGTTTCCAAGTGCGGCAGCGGCATCGCCGTACAAACCTGTTCGGTCGCTGTGTGCGGGGCTCCGCCTCGTTGCCGCTGGCGGCAGCCGGCAAAGCTCGGAGGACACGGACCTTGTTCACAAGCAGCTGGCAGCCCGCGCGAAGCTTGTGCAAGGCAAGAGCTTGGCAGGTCTTGACAGGACGACCACACAAAAGATGTGTTTGGAGTCAGATTGTGGTCGCTGACCAGAAAGGACGGGAGGCTCTTGGAGGATGCTCCTCTGGGCAATTTTGACCTCCAACTCTTTAACTGTACCTGTGCGAGCAAAAGACTCGCATGTGCCGACGTGAGAAAAGTCGTGATTCTGTGGTCTTGGTCTTGAAGCTGAACCGTGCCGGCCAGTCTTCTCTCGGGATCGAAGACCATGTCTTGCAAGTTGTACTCAAGCAAATAGTTGAGCATGCCGCAGCCATTGGCGAAGCCATGCATCCGTCAAAGCGTCAGAGCCGACTGTATCGGTGTCCCGGGTTGCAAGATGCAAGAGTAGAACACTTGCATCTCCGTCGGGATGTCATGGCGATGCTATCAAGCAGGGACTCAAAACACTGCCTCAAACTGCATCACCCATCGCGAGAATCCACGGCAGAAAACGGCCAGCAGTGTGTAGGAGTGTTCGGCACCTTTTCGCGGAAAAGCTTGGGAGCAAGCCTGGTCACCCCTTTTTGCAGCTTCCCTGTGACAAAAATCCAATAGCGAGTTTCGAAGAGCCAGGAGCAAAGCAAGGGGAGAACAGCAGAGCAAACACAGCGAGGAAGAACACACTGCGGCGCTTGTTAGGGTGCGGATACACCGAGTTCTCTGGACTGTCGACTTGGTTATGTTGATGCCCTCACCCAACCTTGTAGATGCAAGAGGAGTACGCGACAGCGTAAAGCGAGCTGCTGGGCTAACATGTTTTGGAGTAGAGTCGGACTGGATCGCCACGTCCGTGTGAAGGCATGTGGAGAGGTGAGAGCTGCTGCAACTGAGAACGGGATTGTGGTGTTGTAGAGTCTCTGTAAAGAGATCTCTATATGTCGCTTGTTTCATACTGAAGTTTGATTGCTTGGAAGAGATTCCTTTTGAAACTGTGGGCAGGGTGAGTCCAACGTACATCATGAGATGGCCGCCTGCCACCGCCACCATCCCGGCATCGGAGCAATCAGCGCATCCAGCCGAGCCGGGAAAGAGAACACCAACAATCCTGTGAATCGCGGCTTGTCCTCGGCCCGGTGGGAGGCGCTGAAGCCCCAGGCTCCCCAAGTCCCGTTGTCCTCGATCCCAGGATCCCCAGCTGCCAGCAATCGTTGGAGTGCCACCAGTCTGCAATTCTCAACACCGCCGCGGACATCTGTTGGTGAGATTTTTCTCCTGCTTTTTTTTCGTGCGGGGAACGAAAGGCTTCGGTGCGTGCATGTGGATGTGCCAGCCTCAGAACGAACCGCAATCATCTTTGCACTCTCCGGATGTTTTGCCATCTCCACTCACCCGAACTGTTTCCGGACGGCTCCAGGTGTGCAGCTGATCAGGAATGGCATGAAGATCGCAGCCTTCGTGCCGAGGCCATTTTTGCAATAGAGCGATGAAGTGTTGGTGTCTGGCTTCGGGCGACGAGGTCACGCAGCTGGTGCCCCAGCAACGTCAAGGGCTCACTCTATATACTAAGGGCTTCGAGTGCCCCGTGCATTGAAGTAGGTTGGTGACATTCCTGGCGTTCGCTTCAAGGCCGTGAAGGAGGGGCAAGGGAGCTTGCATGAGTGTCCGGCATCCGGGAGGAACAGCAACGTAGAATTCTTTGCACTTCTTTCGCAGGTGGCAGGCTGTGGCCTGGGAGCTCTTTAAAGGAACAAGAAGGATCGGCGAGCTCCGGCTGGGGGCCGGAGGGGTGTCTTTGCTTCAGGAAAAGCCGCGCTCCTGAAGATGGTGGTGATCAGCGCTGGTGGAGGCTTCCTACTGATCGTTACAGAACTCAACAACTCCGACGACAGTTCCTTGCCTGTGCAAAGACAGATCTTCCACTGCGCTTCCCTGAATTCCGGCACGGTTCTCTGCACCAATCAGTTCCTAAATGTGCTTGGGCGCGGGAACGTCGGACCTTTGGGAAGAGACTGTGTGCCTCAGCAGGTTCAACTGTTTGGCTTGTGCAGGATTCGGGAGGAAACCGCCTTCGGCCCAGTGTGCTTTGAGAGTCCGGACTTCCCAAAGGATCTTTCGGGGAAGTGTAACGGTGCGTATCCGAACCTCGTGGAGCTCCAGTGCTACTTGAAAGCGGATGCATTTTTGAATGGTGGATTTGGTGGGTTCTTGACGCAGGAGATCTTGCTCGTCGAGTTCCAGGGCGATTTGGATGGAACAGCACGAGTAGGTGGACGCCAAGTTCGATTCCGCATTTGGACGAATGAGACCGTCGTATGCACCTTCGAGACCGACCGTGGATGCACTTGCGTGCTTCTTCGAGAACACTTGCACGAACACCCGAGTCAAGGTGGACCTGGACGATCAGTGCAACGGGGTATCATTCGGATTCCTCGGTTCTTCGGGTGGATGGTGTTCAGGCGTGAAAGTTGAGGGCCCGAACGGGCCCGCCTATCGTTTCTATGTTCCACCGCCGGCCGCATACAACTGGAACGGCTATTGTTTGCCGGCCGAAGCCCCATCTGCCTTCGAGGTGTACAACTGCGATTGTGTGCCCTAGTATGGCGAGTGTCCCGGGTCGGAGTTGATTTGTGCTTTTCAGTTCATGACGCTGGAGCGGTACATCGAGCTTGGCGTGCCTTGGTGTGTGGCGCTGTTGGGCTTATCGCCGAGCGAGTGTGAAGGAACATTAACCGATTTTGCATTTCAAGTCAACTACGCCTTTTCTTTTGGTGGGGATCCAATTTACCAAGCTGGTGGACTTGTAAGGCAGTCCGAAAAGCCGCAATTCAAAAGTACGTTGACATCCCTTAAGCACGAAAGCCATAGACTTTCCGTGCACAACACCGATGCTCACGACATGCGGCGGCGTCCAAGAATCGGCGTCCCCCGTATTGTTTTTACTTCACGGTTGTAAGAAGGCTGATGCCGGGTATTGTGGTATTTGCTGTCAGAGGACGCCACCGACAATTTTGATTCCCCGGTGCTTGCTGCTTCACGCACGAAAGCAGAAGACTTTCCGTGCAGAAAGGTTCCACAGACAATGCCGATTCTCACACATGCGGCGTCGACAAAGACGATCTTGAACAGGCTAGCGTGCGTGTTTGCAGCTGATTTGTGTGGACGAATCTGGACGAGCACGGCCACCGGACTCCAGCCGCAGCAAGCTGTACTCAAGCCCAGCGGCCTGCCCAGTATCCACCGATCCCGGGTGTTGGGGCCTCAGGCAAATGTAGAGTGTAGGCAAATGAATCAAATGAACGAAGAACATGCGCAGCATGAGTTCTTACCGGCCTCGTCAGTTTCAGTCTCGTGCTGCGGCAGCTGCAGAGGCTTTTGCATGTTTGAATGCATGTGCGAAGTGGGAGATCTTCTGCAGCACCACGGCACCCTACAAGGCCAGCCCACGTGGCTGCTGTATGAGGCTCCAAAGCCAGCGCCCCGAGGCGCCGCGCTTTGTTCTTGGGGGCGAAGATTCTCAGTGCTGCCTTGAGCTCCCGACCCCTGGATACTCTTTGAAAATGGAGGCACGACCGTTTCATTACACGTCCATGTCGGCTCTTTCGTTGCACTTACAGTGCAAATCTTGCGATGCCAGATGTGAACCAGTGCCAGACAATCTCTGGTTTGGTTTCAGACCCATTCGTGGAGAGAGGCTACAGTATGTTGAGCTGTTGTGGCAGCGCACGCTGGCTCAAAAAGCTAGCTACCTTTTCCGGTGATTCATGCCGGCGGAGCGATGGCAGCCGATCGCCGCGTTGAGGAGCCACGCAGCTGCATGGTTCCGGGTCCTCCTCTACCTCGCAATGCTGTGCCAGTGTGCCCCGCGCTTGATGGACTACCGATACGCAGCAGGCTTGTTGCTTGTCCTGGCTGCCCGCTATGCAGGAAGTGGCTATGCTGGGCTCAGGCGTGAATCTGCTGGCCTTCTGCGAGATTTCCTGGGTTTACAGGAAGCTGCGCAAAGAGTTTATTGCTTGCCATGGCGACAAGCCTATGAACATGCTTTCATCAAGATTCATATGCTGATGCAATATTCGAAATACGGTCCTTTTGGGTCCATAGCGGAGTACGTGTTCTGGTCCCCTTTGGCAGTGTTGGCCCTAGTTGCCGCGAATCACAACGTACGCGTTGGCTCGAAGCATCCCCTCGTGTTCTCTAACAAACATTTGAGCCGTTCTGCAGGTATGCCACATGCTCTGGGGCTTCTTCCGCGAGCGAGCAGATGATTTCGAACCAGAGCTCAGCGATTTGGAGTGGAGGCAAACAGTCACGTACGAGGCCTTTCTTTGTTCGGTGGTGGGCTCCTTTGCCTTTGCCATATCGATGCTGGCAGGGAAGGTGAACCACCGCTACTTCTCCCACAGGTGCTTTCAGTCATCCCGCCTTTGGACCTTCTGTCTGGGAGCATTTGCCTGCATATCTTCGGAGACTCCGTTGCAGTATGCGTCGATTCATCGACGTCACCACAGGTTCTGTGACCAGGAGGGCGATCCCCATTCCCCTGGCCGCAAGGGTTTTCTCTATGCTTGGGCCTTCTGGAATGCTGACAGGGAGAACTTCGAAATCAAGTCCGCTTTTGTGCAGGACTGGCTGGCGAAGAATCCAGAGCTGCTACTGCTGGAGGTCTACGGCAGGTATGCTAAGCGCGTCCTGGACACAGTGATCCTGAGCGTGCTCATGGCATTGCTGGCTCCTGCCTGGTTGCCCTCCAGTCTGCAGTACCATCCGTTTACTGCAGCCTACGTCTTGGGAAACATACTCGCCAGCAATCTGTCACTTGCTTTCAACGCCTTCTCCCACGACAGCGCGAGCTCCGAGAAGCCGGGCATGTGCCAGGCCTGGGACATGCCGCTGTACGAATTTATTGGAGGCACGGCACTTCTCGGCACATGCTTCGTTCCGTCACCAGTGCCCCGCTTGCTCTTATGCTAAAGTTGAGATCCCCTGATCTTGCCCGAGTCGAGGAGGCGAAGCATATCATCGAGAACACCACGACTTCCCGAACCTCGCACTCTATGGTACTTGGTACCTGGATGGCTCCTACTGCTTCTTTGCGGCGATGGCGCGGTGTGGGCTTGTGTGGGATGTAAAAACTGAGAAGACGAAGTGCCAGGCAATCTCGTGGTGATGCTATGCCGCGCCGTACATACCCGGATAACGTTTCTGTTTTGACGACTGACATGAGCAGTTGGACGTGGTTTCAGTTTTGACGGATGGGAGCCCCACCAGTGTCCAGATCCGCTGCGACGTGCCATGAAGCAGCTTGTTTCGAAAGATGGGCAAGGCTGCAGGCGGGTCTTGTGAATGGCCCCTTCGATGCAGGGTTTGCAGAGCGGAAGAAACAGGCAGAAGTGGAGGCCCTTCGAGGGTTCGTTGGCAATGGATTTCACAGGTCCGGAGGCCCCGAACTTGATCTACATTCGGTGCTGACGGTGAGTGTCCTGTGGTCACAGGCCATGGGGTGGTTGGAACATGTTGGAACTGTGACCTAAAACTTTTGAAACCCTGATGCAAACAGCAGGCTCTCAACATGGCACACCATGACCGATCGCAGTCTGGCCAGGGGTTCAGCTGCTTGGAGGATGTCGCCTCCTGACAAGGCGGAGCGTTCTCCTGAGCTGCAGTCGCTTCCGCTCCGCAAAATCAGCTGCAAGATACATGCTGTGCACAAAGTGGCAGGTGCAGGGCCAGGTTGCCCACTCGGCGCAGTTGCCCAGACTATGCGTGCCCCATGCAAGACATCTGAGGTTTCGAGCCCACGCCAAGTCTGAGAAGACTTGACAGGAAGTGAGAGACTTCTCGGAGCCGAGCCTCCGAGAAGCCATGGTACAAGAATCTTGAAATCCAGAAATCGCTCTTTGGCCCTCTTGTGACTGTGTCAGTGTACCACAAAGGTAGCTTGCCGGATCATACAGTTGCAGTGCTGTAGTTTGGCTAGCGACTTGTGAATGCCATGGGGTTGTTGAACTGTGTGCCGAGCACCTCGTCTTCGTGCGGAAGCTCGCTGAGGAACTCTCTGAGCAGTTGGATGTGGCTCAGGATGCTTCATCCCGGCAGCTCGGTCGCCTGTCTATCATGCGGAACCTCACCCCCAAGCGCAAAGGGAGAGCTGAATTTGAATCACGGAAGATGTCGTGCCAGATCAGGCAGATACTGAGTCTCCACGGAGCCATGGCCACTGTCGGTGCAAGCGAGCGAGGGAGTCATTGAGTCATTGCTGCAGGGAGGCAGGAAGCAGCCGATGCGTGAGCTTGACCACGACCACTTGGTCTGACTCTCAGAGGAGGACATAGATCTCTTTCTGCGAGCGGTATTTGCCTTGAAGGTCACTGTGCATGGGAAGGTCACTCGACGGCCAGTTGACGAAGGCTGGGCTGCGGCACATGCGAAGCTGCGCGATTCCCGAGCATCACCCTCAGAACAATGCGACATGTCGGCTTGAACGGTCTAGGGCAGGGCGCGAGTTGGCAGGTGTCCAACAAAGTCTTGCAGAGTTACATGCTTGCGATCATGACTTGGCAAATGCATGGACATACTAGTTCAGTCCGACAGGTGGGACACCCTGGGAGTACAGTTTTCGAGTTTGAAATCTCGCATGGCAGATGCGACTGGCACGGCATGAGCATGCATGGGCGCTGCACAAGGCCGCCAAATCCTGAGAGCGCTTCTACGTTGCCAGGGCCCGGCGCTTGCATCAGCAGCAGATAGCCGGTCAGAGAATCCCGATAGCAAAATCCAGATGGACGAGCACCAGATGGTGGGTAAAATGTTACGGGTCCATGTATTTTGGAACCACTGCGAAACCAACCGTGTAAGCCCAGTTCAATCCTGTTGCAACAACTACCCCAATGAAACTCGTATTCACCTGCATTAAGCAATTAAATCTCACACAAACAACCCTGATTTCTCCTGAAGGCCCTCACCGCAATCGAACCTTTATAGGTCCCTGTCGCAAGGTGCCCCAGCGTGAAGCATTGCAGGCCAAGTCTCCGGCCCTAAACCATCTCTTCAACTAGAGTCTTTCAGCTCAAGAGCCTGGAGCTCTTTCAAGTCTGTGATTGAAAAACGCTACTCCGAAATGCTCCCCGAGGTTCTTGGAAGAGTTATGCAGCATGGAAGCTTTCTTCGCTTTCTTCTTGCAAATACCCATCGGAGGGTAGGGTTTAGGATTTAGGACTTGACAGCCCGTGGGACGTTGGTCTTCGATCGCTGTGGCTCGAGAGGGGCAGTCAGGGCGCAGCGGCCCACTGGACCAGGTCGGGGATCCCAGAAAGCTGAAAGCGAAGCTGATGGGTATTTGCAAGAAGAAAGCTTCCATGCTGCATAACTCTTCCAAGAGCCTCGAGGAGCATAACAGCAATGGCCGACAAGTGGTCAGAGCTTGGCGCCAGGCCTGCGCCTAAGAGCCGAAGGTCAGCTCCCTGTGCAGAGTTAGATTTGCTTCGTTTCGATCTGTTCCTGTGGCCCCAGACAGTGCTAAGCAGATATGCATTTGTGGCACGTGCCAAGATCCTCCACACAGCAACGTGTCTCAGCGTCTTGCGCGAAGCCTGCATCATGACTCCGATGCCATGCAGTGGTGCTCCGACTGGCATGGAGATGTGGCCGCATGGGCTGGTTCGTGATGACGACCAGTCCTTTGGCGAGCGCAGGTCGCCCTCGGAGAGACTCAGCTGAAAACAGGTTCCAGTCCGTTGCATGCAGGTAACATCTACAGGGAACTCCATACAAGAGATTCAGGTCGAGTCTGCCATGGTCGCCGATGGCATGGAATGGTGCTCCGACTGGCACAGAGACGTGGCGGAATGCTACGCCAGGACCGATTCTTCATGTCTCCCCGTCCTCTGGTGAAGATTCGTGCCGGAAGAAACTCAGCTGAAAAAGACATGTTCCAGCCCAGCCCTTCTTTGCATGCAGCTGTGCAGCTGGCATCTACATGGAACTCCGTTTGAAAAAACTCAGGTGGAGCTCGCCACCTTACTGGTCTCTGGTCGAGCAGATCAGCAAGTTGATCAAAGAGAAGGATCTGCTGCTGAACGAGTCGCCCAGCTGGTCTTCAGCAGTATCCATGAAGGATGAGGTAGTCTTACTGCGACGCAGTGCCGGAAGGCATGAGGTGCGAGCCTCGCTCAGGTGCAGCGATCTTCGCAACGACAACCAGGCTCTTCGGATTGACAGCGAGAAGCTGCACGAAGCGCTTCTCAACTGCGGTTGCTTCGATTCGTGGCCTCTGCAGAGTTCCCGAAACGACCAAAAGTAATTAGCATCTTGGTGCGCAATCGGCGGCCCTACCTCGATAGAATTTGCGCGCATTAACATGTCTTTTCCAGGAGCCTGCTTCGACGCTCTGAAGTCGTGTCCCAATAACAAGTTGTTTAACCTTTAGACGTTGAGGGACATGCCTGGCGCGAACCCACTGTGTTTGTTCTGCGACGCTTGCAGCCTCATACAGCTTGCAGCCTCAAGGCTTCGCATCCAGGGCCAGGAGCTTGAGAGGGTCACGGAGCTGATGCGCGATGACAAGATGCAGCCTGTCGGCACGCGATTTCAATTCTGCAGCCGGCCGCAAGTCGTCGAATCGCCCCAGGAAGCGGCTCAGCGACGCTTCGACGACTTGCTCTGACGGAGAGCAGCCTCCCAAGGCCAGAAGTGCAGTCACAGGGCCAAGCCTGTGGCTGCAGCATGTGCCGCGTGCTTGTCAGGCGTTCTCGAACAGGAACGACCTCGTGGCAAGGATGCACGGGGAGAGCCCTCCCAGGTGCCTGGCAAGAGCAGAGCAGCACTTCATTTCCAAAATCCTCCCAGCAGCTGTGGGCCTGGCTGTCCCTGGAGGTCCATCACGGATTTGCCGCTGGAAGCTCTCATGAGTCCACCGTGCCCCGCCGAGCAGCATGAGTGTCGCATCTTGAAGCCCATCACGACGAGTGCATTCCACATTTCTGCAACGTACCGATTGCCCGTTCCGCGCCCCCCAAAACCACGTATTCTATCAACTTGCAGTGTCCAACGTGTGAATCGCTGCCCCGAGATGCGGACGCATGGCATGCGGCATGATGTGACACCTTGATGAAAGCCATGAATTAAGATTCCTGCAAGATGTCGCTGATGCAAGGCCATCGCCATCAAAGCACCGCAGCGAGCTGCCTGAAAACCCTGGTGATGCGCTGCCTGTCCATCAGCCGGGGGCTTAAAGTCGAAAGTCGAGGGCCTGGAAATATCGAGGCAGCGCACTGCTGGCACGTGGCCAGCGTGCACTGCGCAACCGACTCCAAGGGGCGCACAGGACATGTCTTACTTTCACCAGGGGTTTGCGTGACGCGGATGGAGACTTGCTATGACGATGTTACACCGCAGATAAAGACATGACCTGTGCAAGCTCCATTGAAGAGAGGAAAGAAACTGTTCTCAAAAACTCCCATCACCCAGGCTGCACAGCTGAGCCTTTCTGCGTTTCTTTCGCGGGTTTGAGGTAGCGGCCTGGACCAAGTTTCCGAAGAAACACTTCTCGGCTGATGTTTCGCTTTGGAGCCGGGCACGATGACTGGGGCGCAGGTAGGGGAGTCAGATCGGAAGAAGCGAACTTTCCCTTTGGCACGGCACGTGAGACCTTTCCACCCGCATCTAGGGCAGACAAAGACGCCTCTGGATCTGTCCGAGTTGCACAGCTCGGGAGTGGGTATCAAATCCCGGTTCGGGCGAGAAGAAGGTTGGGTGGCAGTGACCTATGTCGTATTCTGTCATCGTGCCCAAGGCAAAGCAAAATACGCCACTTGCCCTACTTGCGCCATTTATTGCTTCACTTGAAGTGGACTTTGGATTCGGGCAAGTGGAGCAAGTGCCCTCCCTGGTCCCCCGCCCTTACCCCCACCTTCTTGGGGCATGCAGGGATCGCCTGCGTCCTGAAAGTTGTCTTGAAGCTTTGGAGAGCTCCCGCCTGGGCAGAAGCTGAAGCCGCAGCCTACACAGATGCCCCAGGCTGCCCCATACGGTCCTGGGTGCAGACTACCTTAGCGTAAGTGATTCCATGATGGAGAGTACAGTCCCCTGCCTTTGCCTCGCGTGAGAACCTGACGGGGGCGTGTTGCTACCAGAGCTGGGGTGTGTGTTCAACGGCAGCAGATACACCGCATGCAATTCATGGGTTCGGTCTGTGTGCGCCAAGGCACAGACAAGAAGATTCACCTTCTCGCTGGCCCTGCGAAAGCAACGGCAACGACTCTCTGAAGGACGCAAGCAGAGTGTCTCACCGACAAACTTCGGCACTTGAGCGGCTCACCACCCGTAGGAGCCGCCAGACCCTGCGCCTCACCACGAGGCAAACCGCTTGCATCCACCGTAGAGACTGCTGAGCACGCATCCCAGAATTGTCCAGAACTGCCCTGAGGCATGCAGTTCGAAGGCCGAGATGAAGGACGACGAGCAGCCTGACATCGAGGCCCTGCGGGTATAAGTGCGACAGGAACACATCCATCTTGATCCGTGCGTTGAAAGGAAAATCTGCCTGGAGCGCTCCGGGCCGAAGGGACCGCAAGTCCCGTTGAGATGCCGCTTCGGCTGCTCAGAGGATTTTCACATTTCTGCAAGGCATCGGGTACCTGCCATTTCGCCTGCCAACAATCACGCATTCCATAGACTTGAAGTGTGACCACAAGCACTGGAGAGTCGCACTATTTGTGTCAAACATCTAAAGCAATGCGCCAAGATTCCAAAGCATAGCATTCAGCACGATGTCTAGGCCTAGGCCTTTGGATGACACCTTGATAGAAGCCATGCCTTAGACTTCAGATTGCTGCAAGATGTCGCTGTTGCGAGGCCATCGCCATCAAACCACAGCAGCGAGCTGCCTGGAAACCGTGGCGATGCACTGCCTGTCCATCAGCCGGGGGCTTAAAGTCGAATGTATCGCAGCGCACTGCTGGCACGTGGCCAGCGTGCACTGCGCAACCGACTCCGAGGGCCACGCGGGGACATGTCTTATTTTCACCAGGGGTTTGCGTGACGCGGATGGTGACTTGCTATGACGATGTTAAGCGCCTCAGCGACGCTTCTTTGAGGACCCCCTGCGACTTTGACGGAGAGCAGCCTCCCAAGGCCAGAAGTGCAGTCGCGGGGCCAAGCCTGGGAAATTCTGGCTGCCACATGCGCCGCGTGCTTGCCAGGCGTTCTATAACAGGAACGACCTCGTGGCATGGATGCATGGGGAGAGCCCTCGCAGGTGCCTGGCAAGAGCAGAGCAGCACTCCAGTCCAAAAAACCTCCCAGCAGCTGTGGGCCTGGCTGTCCCTGGAGGTCCATCAGGAAATTGCCGGCGGAAGCTCTCATGAGTCCACTGTGCCCCGTCAAGCAGCATGAGTGTCGGATCTTGAAGCGCTTCCACATTTCTGCAGCGTACCGAGTGCCCGTTCCGCACCCCCCAAAACCACGTATTCTATCAACTTGCAGTGTGACCACAAGCACTGGGGAGTCGCTGTATTTGTGTGAAACGTGTCAAACGCTGCCCCGAGATACGGACGCACGGCATAGAGCATGATGTCTAGGCCTAGGCCAAGGCCTGTGCATGACGCCTTGATGAAAGCCATGCCTTAGACCGTGTGTTTTGTCCATCAGCCGGGGGCTTAAAGTCGAGAGTCGAGGCCTTTGGAGACATTGCCGAGCCATCCCTAGCTGTCTGGGAATAGGAAGGTTGGGTGACTTGTTATGACGGACTATGTTACCTCATTGGTGAAAGCACGGCTTGTGTAAGCTCCCGTGAAGAGAGGAAGCTGTTCTCCAAAAATGCCATCACCCAGGCTGTTCTGCACTGCTTTCGCGGGTTCAAAGGTAGCTGCGTGAATCAAGGTTTCCGGGAGAGGCGGAGACCCGCAAAGGGACGCTGCCCTTCCAGGAGGAGCAGGGAGATCAGCCACTCGGCTGATTGTTCGCTTCGGAGCCAGGCACGATGACTGAGGCGCAGGTAGGGGGGTCAGATGGGAGCCTTTGCACTGCACACCGCTGATGTTGCAGCGCGCCGGTTCACCACGATAGGAACTGAAACACAAGTTGAAGCTTTAAATCATCAATATCCTGAAGCTCGGCGGGGGGGGGGGCAGGGCGGGGGGGCTCGGGGAGAGTGAGGCCAGGTCGAAAAAAACGTGCTGCTGATATGCTGAGAGTGTTCTCCAATATCCTGAAACTTGGCGCGGGGGGAGGAGTGAGGCCAGGTCGAAAAGAACGCGCTGCTGTCTGCAAAAAGGAATATGGAGGAGGGTAGTAACACTGCTAGAAATTGGCGTGATGCTGAGAGTGTCCTGCCTCAGATGCTCCAGGCTGCCCCACCGGGTGCAGAATAACTAACACAGAGCGATTGAATCGGGGATGGATAAGAAGGTTCCCTGCTTTAGCCCAGGTTGAGAACCTGACGAAATCAACAGCCGTGGACACAATGCATGCAATTCATGTGTTCGATCTGTGTGCCAAGGCACAGACAAGAAGACGAAAGCTGTGCGCCTTCACCTTCTCAGAGTACTTGCGACACTGACGGCAACAACTCTCCGAAGGACGCAAGCAGAGTGACCTCGCCGACAATACTTCAGCACTTGCGCGGCTCAGCCGTAGGAGCTTCCGGACCCGGAGCAGCCCAACATCAAGGCCTGTGGATCTAAGTGCGACAAGAGCACGTCCACGGGCCCTTTAGATGCTTGCATCGCACACGGGCGCAAGGCTTTTGCCGATCTTTTTCACCCGGCATGCGATTTGTTGCGACTCGGCCTCGCAAGTTCCCAGAGAACAGGCAAGTCAAGCACCAAGCCAAGCGCATTCTCCAGCTTTTTCTGCACCGTGCCGAGGCCTGCTCTTTTAGAGTACTTTTCTGCGGCTCGTCTGCAATGCCAGACTCCAGCAAAGTGCCCTGAGTGGTAGCACAGCGCGATAGCGACTCGCGATGCCTTGGCGATGCTGAGATTCTCGCGCTTGCCTCCAGGTGCCAGATATCCTAGCTTGGCGTGTGACATCCGAACAGACCCGGAGTCCCGAGGCGGGGACAAGAGCACATGTGGAAAGGACTAATTGAGAGGCTTGGGGCAGGGTGCGTGAGGCTTGAATTGAAGCGTCCTGTCGAGTTTCACGCCAAGGTCTTGTTACGGCATGTGGCCGAGCTTGGCAGGTTCGACACGCCGAGTCCTTAGCTGAATTATTTGCGTGTTCGTGCTGATTGAAGTGCGAGGAAAGTGTCGGGAATATTCTGATAAGCGCAGGTCCGATGCGGTCGTCGCATTTTCGGATGGGGTGGACCGCATTCTCTCTGACTCCGAACCTTGTCCCGACGATGTCGAAGTCAAGAAGCGCTTCGATTGCCTCTTGATTGATGAGAGCAATGTTAAAGCTACATTTCTACCGTTGGGAGATCCTTCTTCCTACAGTCCACAGTCTCGCTTGGTCTTCATCTCAGGTCAGGACTGGTGCGTGATGCTTGCGAGAACCAGCACAACCCATTTTTCTGAAGATTATGTCCGCCAAACCGTCGGCAACAACCTCGCTGACTTGTTAACTCACTGCCTGGACTCTGATGAAGGCGTGCGTGCGGCAGCGCACCATATCATTCAAGAGCATGCCTTGGGCGCCCTCGGCTTCGTGAAGGAGCTCATCGCAGACACCGTGCTCCGTCAGATGACAGACATCTTGTCAACCGGCAGGGAGACACAGACGGCCTGGAGGCTCATGGCACCGTACATGGCCCATCTCGAGCCGCTCCTGCGATGGCTGACGAAGAGTCAGCGTCAGGATTGGGCATCTCTGCTTGTCAATTTCTTACATAGCCTTCAATCAACATCAGCTCAAACCAGAGCTACTTACCAGAAGCTGGCGGTTGATCATCTGAAGCTCCTGTGCTTCGCGGATGACGATGCCAGTCGAACCTATGCAGATGAAAGGCGGCAGCTCCTGGCCTTGTCGGACTCGCCGGACTTTGCAGAGGTGAAGAGCAGCATGGCAAGTCTGTTCCGTTGCTAACGTCTGTCTCACCAGCAGCACAATGGGCAGCGCTGCGCAAAAACAGTGCGGTGCAAGGTAGCAATTCTACATGGAGATTCCCTGCTCAAAGATTCCACAACCAGGGCCGATGCCTTGCCTTTATGTTTGTGAGTTGTCATGAAAAATTCGGAAACCCAAGGAGCAGCGCATGCCGCGCTGGACAGCCAACCAGTTGCCCCGTCCTCACCAGCGCGAACCATAGAAGGATCGTTTCTGCATGTATCTGCATCTTGAACGTGTCGCAGGAGGCTCACAGGCAGCCAACGAAGCCAGAGAAGCTGAGTGTCCCTGTCCCAGCATGGAGAATAAGTCTCAGCCAAGTGATTCCGTGCAGAAGATGCATCCGACCTGCAAGTAAGTCCTGATGCATTCAGCGTCGCGGCAAAGACTGTTAACTGTCAGCAGTTCGTGCCCCGAAGCCACAGGTGTTCTCTGATGCATGAGCTGTCATCCGCCTCGGGATAAATTGCTTGCTTTCATGAGGACATCTCTTCAGAAAATCCGGGGAATGCAGTGGCAGAGCCGTGCGAAACTGTTATCGCACCAAGTTCAGTGAATGTGAACAGTCGACTGCGTCGTTGGCATAATTTCTATAACGTCTTCACAAACCAGATTCAATGCCGGTGAGCTAAAGCGGTCACACATCGTTAAAGTGTTAACGTTTGACGTTGTCGCGATCGAAACAGTGGATGAGTTGTCGTTTTCCAAATCTAGTGCGGTGCTTACATTGCACGAGAAAGCAGATTAGGCGAAGGTTGAATTGTGTTTTGTCTTTTGAACTTATAGCACGAATTCATTGCCGGTTGTTTGCAAACAAAGAGCAGAGAGGGAAACTAATCAGGACAAACACAGTTAATCTTTGCTGCCACCAGAAGCTACAAGGCGAAGAGCAAAACTGAATCCGATGTCCAATTTCTGGATTTCCAATCTTATCTGCTTTTCTTTGATCCCATATTTGGAGGAGATCCTGCCTTCCGTATTCTTTCAATATTTATTCGGGTTTTCAACGGCCAGAAGCTTCCACTCCCATGATGATGAGGTTTTCCTTGCAATAGGCTGTTGGACGGGTTGGACGTCCCCTCTAGGCATGCAGCAATTAAGGGCGTGCTTCCTCTTCGTTTCACTACACCGTGCTTCTCTGCTGTTATGTGCAAGCTTCTCTTGTCTGCTAGCTGCTAGATGGGCTGGACTGATCAACGGTGCCAGGGTGAACAATGTTGACCTCAGCTTTCTCCCGTGCGTCCAGCTATCATTTACTGCACATGTACTGTACATAGATACTTTATATATGCATACATATACACAGATACTGTATTGCTATGTTCAGCTGTTATGCTTGTTATATCTTAGCACAGAAATTCTTCAGACCCGTGAACCCCGAACCATCCGTTTGTAACTAACTGTCGATTCGCTGCGTGACGGCGAACAGGAAAGCGTTGTTCGAACAGGGAAGCTACGCTTTGTCAGGTCGTGACATCTGCTGGACTGTGGCCTCACACATGCGACTGCGAGCTCGTTGGGAAAAGCTGGTTGACGCAATGAACCATTCGTTCGGGGACTGGTAGCTGCAGGGTTTCTGGGTATTTGGGTATGTTTGGGTTTGCCGGCCGCATGACGTCGGTCGTACCATCGGGTTGCCACAACTTCAGCGGCTGCTGAATGGTTTAGCAGTGGTTTGTGGCGGTAGTGTCGGGACAATTTCAGTCGTAGTATAGGTCCCGGGCTATGTACGCCCAGTCGTTTGACATTGTTGCTCTGGTTCAGCCTCGCACTTCTGCACACGTTCGTGCAGTGCACTCGCCTGAGACTGACTACTTCTGCAGAGGTCCTGTCAACCGAGAGAGACTGCAGCGCAGCAATGAAGGACTAGGAGGCGTACGACCAAATGCAACCGTAACAAAGCATATCTCATGTCTCTAAGCTAAATGCCGCCGCCGATGACACGCCATCGCCGCTGGGTCCGGCAGCAGCTGGAGACGTGGGAGTGTCTTGGCGCACAACATGAGCGGTACTCTGCAAGGCTCGGCTCTGACGGCTCTGCCCGAGGAGCTGGCCCGACAGCGTTCACCTCGTCTTCGTGCGGAAGCTCGTCGAGGAACTCTCGGAGCAGTTGGATGTGGCTCAGGATGCTTCATCCCGGCAGCTCGCCTGGCTATCATGCGGAACCTCACCCCCAAGCGCAAAGGGAGAGCTGAATTTGAATCACGGAAGATGTCGTGCCAGATCAGGCGGATACTGAGTCTCCACGAGACTCAGTATGCCGGCTGCACGACATCCCCCATGCTTGCCAACTGCACTGGCATGTTGGCCAGCAGGCACCTGCAGCACTAGCACGAGCCCAGGCACTGCAACGCGGAGCGGCCCCTGGCAGAGAACTGTGCTGCCCAGGCCAGACTCGGGGAGCATGCAGTGTTTTCTCCCAGGCAGATGAGGTCAATGCTTGTCAGTCTGGGAGTTTGAATCATTGATTCAACATGGGCAACCGGGCAACCATGGAACATGATGGAACTTTGCCAAAAGGGGCCGACCTGTTCAAGCCAGGAGACCGTGGTGGTAAAGGATGGCGAACCCGCAATTGATGCTCCGCTCTTTCTGCCTTGTGGTACTGCAGGGATCCTTGGGCAGCAGTGCGTCGTTTTTTCGACTCGTTCGCGTGGGTGTTCCCAGGCAATACACTCGGCGGGGACTTGAGAGCAAGCGACAAGTATCTATCTATCTATCTATCATCTATCTATGTTCATATTATATATATATATATATACATATATATATATATATGTATATTTGGCTTGTAGACTCACTACTCTTCGTCCTACTCCACTATGCCGACAGCTGGCCCTCCCCCATCCTTGCCTCCACCGCTTCGCCAGCCTCATCAGCCCAGGCATTTCAATTCAGAGCGGCCCCTGGCAGAGAACTGTGCTGCCCAGGACACAGAGACCGGCTTGTGACATGGAGTTGCTTCCAGAGCAGTGCCACCTGAAGGTTCGCAGGTTGGGTTTGTCATTCAGGATGGCCCCCGGTGGAAGAGCAGCTACCTGTATGACCTGTAGCTTCGTTGTTTCAGCGCGGCAATGAGTCGCTCAACGCTAACTTCTGCACAGCATCGTAGGAGCCATCGTTGTGGCTTTCGATCCCTCGAGAGCAGAGCGCAGGCAGCGGCGATCTGTGCCTCGCTTGCAGTGGGCACCTCGAACTTCTCAGGGCCGTGCTGAAGAAAGCTTCCACAGGCATGAGGGCTGCCCCGTCGCTGCATCGACACCCCGTGCGGGCACCACAGAGCGCCTTGGGCCGCAATCCTTCTTTCCAGCTTTTCTGAGGGATGCTCGCAGCACTCTGCTGCCGAGGAGCCAGGAACCGAACCCTCAGTCGGACACTGAGCCACTGAGCTGTGCTGGCAGCACCTGCCTTGCGGACGCTCATCACTTTGTCTTCTAGTAATTCTGGTGTCGGCGAGCCGAGGACCCGCCCGGGCAGAAAAAGCAGCGGCGGCGACAGTGAAGCCAGCACGAGACTGCCCGACGGCAACAAGAGCGATTCAGACATCGACGAAGAGTGGTCCGGGGAGGAATTCGCCCCTCACGACCTCCTCATGTGCCTGGGCCGCATGTGAACTGCGTGCTTGCATCGACTTTCGGTTGCTTTCGGCGGATTCGCAGACATGCTGTGCAAGATCTCGTCCGCAGAAGCCTCAGGACAAATCTGTTGCCGTTCTTGAGCGCGGCTTGGCTGCGAAGTGGCCAGTGCAGGGGTGTCGACAACAAGACGTTGCAAGAGGTGTTGTCGGCGGATCCTTTGTGCATCTCTGCCCGCTACAGGTGCAGGAGCTGCGCAACTGGCGCGTACTCTCGCGGCTTATGCGAAGCCCCAAGGCCTGCGGTCCGACGCCTCCCTCTGCGTGCTCCTTTCTTGGAGACCTCTGCTTGAAGACGATAAACGTGCTACGCAGGCCTTGACAGCGCACGTGGCTGAGGTGGGCAGCATGGACAGGCTCGGAAACGGTTTTTCGAAGTAGCGTCAACATCGAGCGGTTTGTCGACATCCTGCTTGCATGTTGCGATAATTGCACGTCACACTCGGATTTGCCGAATTCCCGTTCTTTCAGCAAAAACGGAAGGACAGATGGTCCATGATTTTTGAAGACCCGTCGATCGATCGTCCTGTCTACCATACTAAAAGCAACCGGTGTTCGTCATGCCTTTGCTGCTGCTGCTGCCGCTGCTGCTGCTGCCGCTGCTGCTGCTGCTGCGGCTGCCGCTGCCCAGCTGCCGCTGCCGCTGCCCAGCTGCCGCTGCCGCTGCCGCTGCCGCTGCCGCTGCCCAGCTGCCGCTGCCCAGCTGCCGCTGCCGCTGCCGCTGCCCAGCTGCCGCTGCCGCTGCCGCTGCCGCTGCCGCTGCCGCGGCTGCTGCGGCTGCTGCTGCTGCTGCTGCTGCGGCTGCGGCAGCTGCTGCTGCTGCTACTGCTGCTGCTGCTGCGGCTGCTGCGGCTGCTGCGGCTGCTGCGGCTGCTGCGGCTGCTGCGCGGCGGCTGCTGCTGCTGCTGCTGCTGCTGAGTGAGCAAGCTGCGCAATGCAGATCAATGCTGCAAATGCAGCACATGGACATGTTTTCAGACCCACAGTCATGCACAGCAGGTCGTATCATTCCCACCTTCATTGCACCGGCATGTTGAATCAAGCAGGTCACGGAGCTAGGCAGTTTTATCAGTCACCGAGTGACGCTGTACACTTGTGCAGGCCAGAACAGATTGTCGCTTTCGTGGAGCAGATGGATCTGGTCGGAAGTAACCCGGATACACTCTTCGCCGATGTCTTCCAGGGCGATGCAGAGCAGCAGAAGACTTATTGAACATGATTCACAGCCACATGCAGCCAGCACCTCCGTCTTACTGGCAGTGCAGGTGGAGACCTTAGACGCATCTGCTTCATTCTGAGGTCGGTGGTGGTCAACGGCCCTGGCATCCAAGAGAAAACCCAATTTCGCGGAAAGCCACGCTAAGCGCATTGTTCGCAAGAACCTCCGAAGTCTGCTTCGGCACTGCCGGAGTTCGGATGTGGCCGTTGCTGATGCCGCCATGCTCCTTGTAATGAACCATGCTGTTGAGGCCCTCCCTTTTGTGCAGGGACCTATTGCAGAAACCATGCTCGGCATGACGGAAGAACTTGTGGAGTCCAGCATTTCCATCAACAAGGACAAACTACTTTTTTGTGGCACGATTCTTGGGCTTGTGCTGCGGGTGCTGAGCAAGCCTCAGCGTCAGAGGTGGGTGTCCCTTCTTGTACTGCTGGACGAGGACTTTCCCAAACAGCCAGTGATCTGGCGGTTGAGGCTGCTCCGGCTTGCAGATGATGACCCCTTGCGAACCTACGCGGCGGTACGCCAGCAGCCGCGGCTTTATGCGAAGTCCGCCTCGAAGTGGGAGACTGATGTTAAGCTTCTCACCGACTGCAGCTGCTGCTGAAGTCTGTCTCCAAGAGCCAGTGCGCAGCAAAGGAGGAATCAGTGCACGCGTGCAGCTTGCAACTATAACTACCACAAGCATCACATGACCAGCATCACCATCAGCAGAATTGTGGCTCTGGTTCAGCCTCGCACTTCTGCACACGTTTGTTCAGTGCACTCACCTGAGACGGACTACTTCTGCAGATGTTCTCTCAACCGAGAGAGATTGCAGCACTGCAATGAAGGACTGGGAGGAGAACGACCAAAGCTTGAAACAACTGAGAACATCGCTGGTCCGGCCGAGCCATGGTTTGGCAGCAGAATGGCTGCCCATGGAACCAGCCACTCGCAGCAAAGACAAGGCTTGTAGATTAATCTGGCATCTGTTGCTCGGGTGATACAAAAGGTGTTGTCGTTGCTTCGCACGGGACAAATCAGCCTTTCTGGCATCCAGAAGTTTCAGATCGAGAAATCATCATCTTCACCATCATCATCATCATCATCATGATCATCCGGCTCGTTCCTCAGCACCCTTTTTCGAGAATGCGCTGTTTGTGTGTGTTCCTTCAGGCAATGCCGGCCCTCTCCCGACGACAGCAAGGACATGTGTTCCAAGCCGTCCAGCAGGCGAAGAAACTCGAAGATCAAGTGAGCAGGGTCTCAACCGGCTCCTCTGAAACACTCTGCCTGCAGGTCGGAGAGGTGGTCACCGTGGACATGGTGAAGGCATGGCGGTTCAGGGTTTACCCTGTTGTCAGAAAGCGTCTCGGTGAGACTGTTTGGTGCCCGTTGAGATGCCGCTTCGGCTGCTCAGAGGATTTTCACATTTCTGCAAGGCATCGGGTACCCGCCATTTCGCCTGCCAACAATCACGCATTCCATAGACTTGAAGTGTGACCACAAGCACTGGAGAGTCGCCCTATTTGTGTGAAGCATCTGCAGCAATGCGCCAAGATTCCAAAGCATTGCATTCAGCACGATGTCCAGGCCTAGGCCTTTGGATGACACCTTGATAGAAGCCATGCCTTAGACTTTAGATTCCTGCAAGATGTCGCTGTTGCGAGGCCATCGCCATCAAACCACAGCAGCGAGCTGCCTGGAAACCCTGGCGATGCACTGCCTGTCCATCAGCCGGGGGCTTAAAGTCGAATGTATCGCAGCGCACTGCTGGCACGTGGCCAGCGTGCACTGCGCAACCGACTGCGAGGGCCACGCGGGGACATGTCTTATTTTCACCAGGGGTTTGCGTGACGCGGATGGTGACTTGCTATGACGATGTTAGGCGCCTCAGCGACGCTTCTTTGAGGACTCATTGATGAAGGCACGGCTTGTGTAAGCTCCCGTGAAGGAAGGAAGCTGTTCTCCAAAAATGCCATCACCCAGGCTGTTCTGCACTGCTTTCGCGGGGGCAAAGGTAGGACCAAGGTTTCCGGGAGAGGCGGAGACCCGGAGTGTGACGATGCCCTTCCAGGAGGAGCAGGGAGATCAGCCACTCGGCTGATGGTTCGCTTCGGAGCCGGGCACGATGACTGAGGCGCAGGTAGGGGAGTCAGGTGGGAGCCTTTGCACGGCGCAGCGCGCCGGTTCACCACGATAGAAACTGAGACACAAGTTGAAGCTTTAAATCATCAACATCCTGAAGCTCGGGGGGGCGTCAGGGCGGGGGGGCTCAGGGGAAGTGAGGCCGGGTCGAAAAAAACGCGCTGCTGAAAGGCTGAGAGTGTTCTCCAATATCCTGAAACTTCGGGGGGGGGGGAGGAGTGAGGCCAGGTCGAAAAGAACGCGATGCTGTCTGCAAAAAGGAATATGGGGGCGGGTAGTAACACTGTTAAAATTGGCGTGATGCTGAGAGTGTCCTGCCTCATATGCTCCAGGCTGCCCCACCGGGTGCAGAATAACTAACACAGAGCGATTGAATCGGGGATGGATAAGAAGGTTCCCTGCTTTAGCCCAGGTTGAGAACCTGACGAAATCAACAGCCGTGGACACAACGCATGCAATTCATGTGTTCGGTCTGTGTGCCAAGGCACAGACAAGAAGACGAAAGCTGTGCGCCTTCACCTTCTCAGAGTACTTGCGACACTGACGGCAACAACTCTCCGAAGGACGCAAACAGAGTAACCTCGCCGACAATACTTCAGCACTTGCGCGGCTCAGCCGTAGGAGCTTCCGGACCCGGAGCAGCCCAACATCAAGGCCTGTGGATCTAAGTGCGACAAGAGCACGTCCACGGGCCCTTTAGATGCTTGCATCGCACACGGGCGCAAGGCTTTTGCCGATCTTTTTCACCCGGCATGCGATTTTTTGCGACTCGGCCTCGCAAGTTCCCAGAGAACAGGCAAGTCAAGCACCAAGCGCATTCTTCAGCTTTTTCTGCACCGTGCCGAGGCCTGCTCTTTTGGAGTACTTTTCTGCGGCTCGTCTGCAATGCCAGATTCCGGCAAAGTGCCCTGAGTGGTAGCACAGCGCGACAGCGACTCGCGATGCCTTGGCGATGCTGAGATGCTCGCGCTTGCCTCCAGGTGCCAGACATCCTAGCCTGGCGTGTGACATCCGCACAGACCCGGAGTCCCGAGGCGGGGCCAAGAGCACACGTGCAAAGCACTAATTGAGAGGCTTGGAGCAAGGTGCTTGAGGCTTCGATTGAAGCGCCCTGTCGAGTTTCATGCCAAGGTCTTGTTACGGCATGTGGCCGAGCTTGGCAGGTTGGACACGCCGAGTCCTTAGCTGAATGATTTCCGTGCTCGTGCTGTTTGCAGTGCGAGGAAAGTGAGAACACCCTGATAAGCGCAGGTCCGATGCAGTCGTCGCATTTTCTGATGGGGTGGACCGCATTCTCTCTGACTCCGAACCTTTCCCCGACGATGTCGAGCGCAAGAAGCGCTTCGATTGCCTCTTGATTGATTACAGCCAAAGTGCCACAGTTGGGAGATCCTTCTTCCTACAGTCCCGCTTGGTATTCATCTGAGGTCAGGACTGGTGCGTGATGCTTGCGAAAACCAACACAACCCATTTTTCTGAAGATTATGTCCGCCAAACCGTCGGCAACAACCTCACTGACTTGTCAACTCACTGCCTGGACTCTGATGAAGGCGTGCGTGCGGCAGCGCACCATATCATTCAAGAGCATGCCTTGGGCACCCTCGGCTTCGTGAAGGAGCTGATCGCAGACACCGTGCTCCGTCAGATGACAGACATCTTGTCAACCGGCAGGGAGACACAGACGACCTGGAGGCTCATGGCACCGTACATGGACCATCTCGAGCCGCTCCTGCGATGGCTGACGAAGAGTCAGCGTCAGGATTGGGCATCTCTGCTTGTCAAATTCTTACATAGCCTTCAATCAGCATCAGCTTCAATCAGAGCTACTTGCCAGAAGCTGGCGGTTGGTCATCTGAAGCTCCTGTGCTTCGCGGATGACGATGCCAGTCGAACCTATGCAGATGAAAGGCGGCAGCTCCTGGCCTTGTCGGACTCGCCGGACTTTGAAGAGGTGAAGAACGGCATGGCAAGTCTATTCCGTTGCTAACGTCTGTCTCACAAGCAGCACGCTGCCCAGCGCTGCGCAAAAAACCTGCAGTGCAAAGTAGCAGTTCTGCATCCTAAACCCTAAACCCAAAACCCTTCTGCGCCAAGGCGATACACGGTTCCTTTCTTTCGGGTCGGGGCCTATGCTACTGTTAAAATACCTGCCTCATCATGAGCAAGTGGCAGGGAGAATTTCTCGTTGCATCATACTGCGATGAAGCTGTCGCCTGCGAACTCTCCCAGCCGCCAAAGGGAGCAGAAGTTTTTTGGGATCTGCAAGCCCTGATGTGATGCTGGATTACTCCAGTGACACGGAACTATATAGTCTGCCTTTGTTCATTGGATTGCAGCACAGCTATTCCTGCTGCAGACGTTGCTTGGCTGGCAAAGTTCCAGGCTCCGGGATGATCCACGGTGCGTTAACTGTACGAAGCAGGCAGACAGCTTCGCCAGGCTTTCAGCTATGTCCCCCAAAGCCCTCGCTCCACCACTACTGCTGCTGAGGAGTAGCTTGACATGTATTTCGGATTTTGAAGTTAGCCTTATTACACCCTGAATAAGGGCAGAGTAACCCCTTCCTCAGCGCAGCTGACGGAGCCAATCGCATAGGGCTGAGCTGGGCACAGACCCAAAACCCGATACCACAGGATTGCTTTGCCCTGGAACCCTTCAAGCGCAAGATCCTATGCCCGAAGTTATCGATTAGGACTTGTCGTTATCATCAACATCACCACCAGCACCACCAGCGGTACCATCACCATCATCGTTATCATGATCATGGTTGCATCATGGCCATCATCATCATCGTAATAATCCATTGTCATCATCAATGTCATTGTGAGAGTCATCATGACCATGTCTTCATCAGTGATGGCCATACCATAATCATCGTCATCACCATCGTTATCTGCACCAACATCATCATCTCCATCGAAACATAATCATCGAACCCTGTGTAATCATCGAATCATCATCATCTTCGAGTCATCGTCGTCATCGCCATCGTGGAAATCAGCTCCGAATCACCGTCACCATCACCACCACCATCGGATCGTCATCGTCATCATCATCATCAGCATCCTATTCTTCATCTTCTGCATCACGAACTAACGTCATCATCAGCATCACCATCAACACCAGCATCAATGTGCGTCAGTGTCACCATGCGCATCTGCATCACCATCGCCATCATCTCTGTCACCAGCACCAAGACCACCATCGCCAGATCCATCACCATACCATCACGATATCCATCACCGACTAGCATTTCCAGCTTGACCAGCAGCGGCATCATCATCATCATCATCTGCGCAGTGGTCATCATCATCACATCATCATAATCGTTATCAGCATCACAATCCTTGTCATCGTCTTCTTCTTCAGCATCACCCACCATCCATCTTCAAGATGATCCCCCTGGTCGTCCTTGTCCACGTCGTCGCCAATTCGGCTCAGCATCCGTGTGCCCGCGCATAGTGGGGATTCCTGCCCTACGGCCTCGCCCCGGAACAGTGACTCGCCAAAGGCCCGAGCTTACAGTTCGGGTTCGTGCACTTGCCAAGTCTCGGGCTCCTCCGTCTGAACTGGTGAGTGTGGACAGGTTGGGGGGTGGGGCTTATTAGGGTTAGGATTCAGGGGTGAGGGTCCAGGGTGTTTTCCTGATCCAAGTTGTCGAGTTCAGGCTACATGTATTGGCGTTGAAGCTTTAAGGGGCTATGTAAGCGGCACACGAGGCCAACAATAACAGCAGCAGTGATGTCGAGGGCCATCATATTAATAGCGCAAAAGGCGGCAACAGCTTAAGGCAGTGCCGGTTGTGGTTATGTGCGACTACTGGCCCAAAGCTTCGAAGCAGACCCATATTTGGCCACTAATGGAAGTTTGATGCGAGCTGAACAACCGCTTAGTGTGGGCCTAGTACTTGCACAGCGTTTGGTGCGGCTTGAGAGCAAGATTATGATGGAGAACCATGCAGGTGTGACGATGTCTGTAAACATTTAGCGAAGGCTCTCTATATAAGCTCTAGATCTAAACCTCTAGGTAGGTAGATTCTTTACAGGTTTGGGAAAGCGAAGCAGCAGTAGCGGGAGGAGGAGGAGGAGGAGGAGGAGGCATAGTGGGGCTGATGGGCAAAGTCCTGCACTTTCGGTGAGGCCTGAATTAGCCCTAAACCCTAAACCCTGAATCCTTAACCGAAAAAGGCTCGTTCCAAATAGAAGCCCTAAACCGAAGCTCACCTACAGGTCGCTTCGATATGTCGCCCAAGCCTGGGTGCTGCGTTGCGTGCACTCTTTTGCAGAGTTTGATTTGCTTCGTTTGCATTTGTTCCTGTGGCCCCAGACAGTGCTCAGCCTGTTGATTGAGTCACGCAGCTATGCACTCTTGGTGCTTCGGACATGCCAAGATCTTCCACACAGCAACGTGTCTCAGCGTCTTGCGCGAAGCCTGCATCATGACTCCGATGCCATGCAGTGGCGCTGCGACTGGCATGGAGATGGGGCCGCATGGGCTGATTCGTGATGACGACCAGTCCTTTGGCAAGCGCAGGTCGCCCTCGGAGAGACTCAGCTGAAAACAGGTTTCAGGCCGTTGCATGCAGGTAACATGCACAGGACCCATGCAAGAGACTGAGGTCGAGCTTGCCATCGTCGCCGATGGCATGGAATGGTGCTCCGCCTGGCACAGAGACGTGGCGGAATGCTACGCCAGGACCGATTCTTCATGACTCCGCGTCCTCTGGTGAAGATTCGTGCCGGAAGAAACTCAGCTGAAAAAGACATGTTCCAGCCCAGCCCTTCTTTGCATGCAGCCGTGCAGCTGGCATCTACGTGGAACTCCGCTTGAGAAAACTCAGGTGGAGCTCGCCACCTTACTGGTCTCTCGTCGAGCAGATCAGCAAGTTGATCAAGGAGAAGGATCTGCTGCTGAACGAGTCGCCGAGCTGTTCTTCAGCAGTATGCATGAAGGATCTGCGACGCTTTGCCGGAAGGCATGAGGTGCGAGCCTCGCTCAGGTGCAGTGATCTTCGCAACGACAACCAGGCCCTTCGGATTGACAACGAGAAGCTGCACGAAGCGCTTCTCAATTGCAGTTGCTTCGATTCGTGGCCTCTGTAGAGTTCCCGAAACGACTAAAAGTAATTAGCATCTTGGTGCGCAATCGGCGGCCCTACCTCGATAGAATTCGCGCGCATTAGCAGGTCTTTTCCAGGAGCCTGCTTCGACGCTCTGAAGTCGTGTCCCAATAACAAGTTGGTTAACCTTTAGCCGTTGAGGGACATGCCTGGTGCGAACCCACTGTGTTTGTTCTGCGACGCTTGCAGCCTCAGGCTTCGCATCCAGGGCCAGGAGCTTGAGATGGTTACGAAGCTTATGCGCGATGACAAGATGCAGCCTGTCGGCACGCGATTTCAATTCTGCAGGCATTGCCTGGCAGATGTTGTTACTTTGCGGTTTCGGCTGAGCCAGCTATGGAAACGGTGCACTCAGCACAATCCTCGTTGCTCAGGACCATGCCGCTGCACAAGTGGACTTCGCAGGTCGGAGCTCTTCCCGCAATGCCGCTCTCCCAAGCCTTGAACCGGGGTTTTCTCGTCTTTCTCTACTCTCCGCTCACTGTAGGTGGTTGGGTGGACCAAGGTGTTTGGGCAACGACGCGAAGCCAGAGAGCCGTACCTCCTGCGATCAGCTTCTCGGCTGATGTTTCGCGCTGGATGGGGGGCCCAAATGCCGGCTGAGCGGCCGCAAGTCGTCGAATCGCCCCAGGAAGCGGCTCAGCGACGCTTCGACGACTTGCTCTGACGGAGAGCAGCCTCCCAAGGCCAGAAGTGCAGTCACAGGGCCAAGCCTGTGGCTGCCGCATGTGCCGCGTGCTTGTCAGGCGTTCTCGAACAGGAACGACCTCGTGGCAAGGATGCACGGGGAGAGCCCTCCCAGGTGCCTGGCAAGAGCAGAGCAGCACTTCATTTCCAAAATCCTCCCAGCAGCTGTGGGCCTGGCTGTCCCTGGAGGTCCATCACGGATTTGCCGCTGGAAGCTCTCAGGACTCCACCGTGCCCCGCCGAGCAGCATGAGTGTCGCATCTTGAAGCCCACCAGGACTAGTTCATTCCACATTTTTGCAACGTACCGATTGCCCGTTCCGCGCCCCCAAAACCACGTATTCTATCAACTTGCAGTGTCCAACGTGTGAATCGCTGCCCCGAGATACGGACGCACGGCATGCAGCATGATGTCTAGGCCTAGGCCTTTGGATGACACCTTGATAGAAGCCATGCCTTAGACTTTAGATTCCTGCAAGATGTTGCTGATGCAAGGCCATCGCCATCAAAACACCGCGGCGAGCTGCCTGAAAACCCTGGTGATGCGCTGCCTGTCCATCAGCCGGGGGCTTAAAGTCGAAAGTCGAGGGCCTCTGTATCGAGGCGGCGCACTGGTAGCACGTTCACCAGGGGTTTGCGTGACGCGGATGGAGACTTGCTATGACGATGTTACACCGCAGATAAAGACATGACCTGTGCAAGTTCCATTGAAGAGAGGACAGAAACTGTTCTCAAAAACTCCCATCACCCAGGCTGCACAGCTGAGCCTTTCCGCGTTTCTTTCGCGGGTTTGAGGTAGCGGCCTGGACCAAGTTTCCGAAGAAACACTTCTCGGCTGATGTTTCGCTTTGGAGCCGGGCACGATGACTGGGGCGCAGGTAGGGGAGTCAGATCGGAAGAAGCGAACTTTCCCTTTGGCACGGCACGTGAGACCTTTCCACCTGCATCTAGGGCAGACAAGAACGCCTCTGGATCTGTCCGAGTTGCACAGCTCGGGAGTGGATATCAAATCCCGGTTCGGGCGAGAAGAAGGTTGGGTGGCAGTGACCTATGTCGCATTCTGTCATCGTGCCCAAGGCAAAGCAAAATATGCCACTTGCCCTACTTGCGCCATTTGCTTCACTTGAAGTGGACTTTGGATTCGGGCAAGTGGAGCAAGTGCCCTCCCTGGTCCCCCGCCCTTACCCCCACCTTCTTGGGGCATGCAGGGATCGCCTGCGTCCTGAAAGTTGTCTTGAAGCTTTGGAGAGCTCCTCCTGCCTGGGCAGAAGCTGAAGCCGCAGCAAACATAGATGCCACAGGCTGCCCCATAATGTCCTGGGTGTAGACTTTCCCAAGGGTAAGTGATTCCGCAGGCTGCCCCATACTGTACTGGGTGTAGACTACCTTAGCATAAGTGATTCAATGATGGAGAGTACAGTCCCCTGCCTTTGCCTCGCGTGAGAACCTGACTGGGGCGTGTTGCTACCAGAGCCGGGGTGTGTGTGTGTTCAACGGCAGCAGATACCCCGCATGCAATTCATGGGTTCGGTCTGTGTGTGCCAAGGCACAGACAAGAAGATTCACCTTCTCGCTGGCCCTGCGAAAGCAACGGCAACGACTCTCTGAAGGACGCAAGCAGAGTGTCTCACCGACAATACTTCGGCACTTGAGCGGCTCACCACCCGTAGGAGCCGCCAGACCCTGCGGCTCACCACAAGGCAAACCGCTTGCATCCACCATAGAGGCTGCTGAGCGGCTGAGCGCATTCCCAGAATTGTCTTGAACTGCCCTGAGGCATGCAGTTCGAAGGCCGAGATGAATGACGACGAGCAGCCTGACATCGAGGCCCTGCGGATATAAGTGCGACAGGAACACATCCATCTTGATCCGTGCATTGAAAGGAAAATCTGCCTGGAGCGCTCCGGGCCGAAGGGACCGCAAGTCCCGTTGAGATGCCGCTTCGGCTGCTCAGAGGATTTTCACATTTCTGCAAGGCATCGGGTACCTGCCATTTCGCCTGCCAACTCTCACGCATTCCATAGACTTGAAGTGTGACCACAAGCACTGGAGAGTCGCCCTATTTGTGTGAAGCATCTGCAGCAATGCGCCAAGATTCCAAAGCATTGCATTCAGCACGATGTCTAGGCCTAGGCCCTTGGATGACACCTTGATAGAAGCCATGCCTTAGACTTTAGATTTCTGCAAGATGTCGCTGTTGCGAGGCCATCGCCATCAAACCGCAGCAGCGAGCTGCCTGGAACCCCTGGCGATGCCCTGCCTGTCCATCAGCCGGGGGCTTAAAGTCGAATGTATCGCAGCGCACTGCTGGCACGTGGCCAGCGTGCACTGCGCAACCGACTCCGAGCGCCACGCAGGGACATGTCTTATTTTCACCAGGGGGTTTGCGTGACGCGGATGGTGATTTGCTATGACGATGTTAAGCGCCTCAGCGACGCTTCTTTGAGGACCCCCTGCGACTTCGACGGAGAGCAGCCTCCCAAGGCCAGAAGCGCAGTCACAGGGCCAAGCCTGGGAAATTCTGGCTGCCGCATGCACCGCGTGCTTGCCAGGCGTTCTATAACAGGACGACCTCGTGGCATGGATGCATGGGGAGAGCCCTCCCAGGTGCCTGGCAAGAGCAGTGCAGCACTTCATTTCCAAAATCCTCCCAGCAGCTGTGGGCCTGGCTGTCCCTGGAGGTCCATCAGGGAATCAACGTTGGAAGCCCTCATGAGTCCACTGTGCCGCGTCGAGCAGCATGAGTGTCGCATCTTCACGACGAGTACTTTCCACATTTCTGCAACTTGCCGAGTACCAACTACGCGCACCAAAGATCAGGTATTCTATCAACTTGCAGTGTGACCACAAGCACTGGAGAGTCGCTGTATTTGTGTGAAACGTGTGAAACGCTGCCCCGAGATACGGGCGCACGGCATGCAGCATGATGTCTAGGCCTAGGCCACGGCTTGTGCGCATGACGCCTTGATGAAAGCTATGCCTTAGACCGTGTGTTTTGTCCATCAGCCGGGGGCTTATATAAAGTCGAGAGTCGAGGCCTTTGGAGACATTGCTGAGCCATCCATAGCACCTTTCTGGGAATAGGAAGGTTGGGTGACTGGTTATGACTGACTATGTTACCTCATTGATGAAGGCACGGTTTGTGTAAGCTCCCGTGAAGAGAGGAAACTGTTCTCCAAAAAAATACCATCACCCAGGCTGTTCTGCACCGAGTTGTCGGGTTCAAAGGTAGCTGCATGGACCAAGGTTTCCGGGAGAGGCGGAGACCCGGAAAGGGACGCTGCCTTTCGAGGAGGAGCAGGGAGATCAGCTACTCGGCTGATGGTTCGCTTCTATCCGGGCACGATGACTGAGGCGCCGGTAAGGGAGTCAGGTGGGAGCCTTTGCACGGCACACCGCCGATGTTGCAGCGCGCCGGTTCACCACGATAGAAACTGAAACACAAGTTGAATCTTTAAATCATCAACATCCTGAAGCTCGGGGGGGTCAGCGGGGGGGCTCGAGGGAAGTGAGGCCGGGTCGAAAAAACGCGCTGCTGAAAGGCTGAGAGTGTTCTCCAACATCCTGAAACTTGGGGGGGGGGAGGAGTAACGCGCTGCTGTCTGCAAAAAGGAATATGGGGGAGGGTAGTAACACTGTTAAAATTGGGGTGATGCTGAGAGTGTCCTGCATCGCAAGCAGCAGCTGAAGCAGCGGCATACACAGATGCTCCAAGCTGCCCCACCGGGTACAGAATAACTAACACAGAGCGATTGAATCGGGGATGGATAGGAACGTTCCCTGCTTTAGCCCAGCGTGAGAACCTGACGAACTCAACAGCCGTAGACAAAGCGCATAAGCATGCGATTCATGGGTTCGGTCTATGTGCCAAGGCACAGACAAGAAGACGAAACCTGTGCGTTTTCACCTCAGAGTACTTGCGACACTGACGGCAGCAACTCTCCGAAGGACGCAAGCAGAGTGACCTCGCCGACCATACTTCAGCACTTGTGCGGCACAGCCGTAGGAGCTTCCAGACCCGGAGCAGCCCAACATCAAGGCCTGTGGATCTACGTGCGACAAGAGCACGTCCACGGGCCCTTTAGATGCTTGCATCGCACAGCTTTTGCCGATCTTTTTCACCCGGCATGCGATTTTTTGCGACTCGGCCTCGCAAGTGTCCAGACAACAGGCAAGCCAAGCGCATTCTCCAGCTTTTTCTGCACCGTGCCGAGGCCTGCTCTTTTGGAGTACTTTTCTGCGGCTCGTCTGCAATGCCAGATTCCGGCAAAGTGCCCTGAGTGGTAGCACAGCGCGACAGTCCAGGTGCCAGACATCCTAGCCTGGCGTGTGACATCCGAACAAACCCGGAGTCCCGAGGCGGGGCCAAGAGCACATGTGGAAAGGACTGATTGAGAGGCTTGGTGCAGGGTGCATGAAGCTTCAATTGAAGCGCCCTGTCGAGTTTCATGCCAAGGTCTTGTTACGGCATGTGGCCGAGCTTGGCAGGTTCGACACGCCGAGGCCTTAGCTGAATTATTTGCGTGCTCGTGCTGATTGAAGTGCGAGGAAAGTGTCGGGAACATTCTGACAAGTGCAGGTCCGATGCAGTCGTCGCATTTTCTGCCGGGGTGGACCGCATTCTCTCAGACTCCGAACCTTTTCCCGACGATGTCGAACGTAAGAAGCGCTTCGATTGCCTCTTGATTCATTTAAGCTAAAGTGATACAGTTGGGAGATCCTTCTTCCTACAGTCCCGCTTGGTCTTCATCTCAGGTCAGGACTGGTGCGTCATGCTTGCGAAAACGGACACGACCCATTTTTGTGAAGATTTCGTCGCCCAAACCGTTGGCAAAAACCTCACTGACTTGTTAACTCACTGCCTGGACTCTGATGAAGACGTGCGTGCGGCAGCGCACCATATCGTTCGAGAGCATGCCTGTGGCGCCAAGGAGCTCATCGCAGACACCGTGCTCCGTCAGATGACAGACATCAACCGATAGAGGGACGCAGACGACCCGGATTCACATTTTGCGGTACATGGACCATCTCGAGCCGCTCCTGCGATGGCTGACGAAGCGTCAGCGTCAAAATTGGGCATCTCTGCTTGTCAAATTCTTGCACAGCCTTCAACCAGCTTCAGTTCCGAACAGAGCTGCTTGCCAGAAGCTGGTGGTTGGTCATCTGAAGCTCCTCTGCTATGCGGATGACGATCCCAGTCGAACCTACGCAGATGAAAAGCGGCAGCTCCTGGCCTTGTCGGACTCCCCGGACTTTGAAGAGGTGAAGATGAGCATAGCAAGCCTCTTCTGTTGCTAACGTCTGTCTCACCAGCAGCACAATGCGCAGCGCTGCGCAAAAACAGTGCGGTGCAAAGTAGCAGTTCTACATCGCCAGGTGTGACGTTGTTACGTGCTTCTGCACCAAGGAGATTCCTCGCTCAAAGATGCCACATGCAAGGCCGATGCCTTGCCTTTATGTTTGTGAGTTGTCATGCAAAATTTGGAAACCCAAGGAGCATCACTTGCCACACTGGACAGCCAACCAGTTGCCCCGTCCTCACCAGCGCGAACCATAGAAGGATCGTTTCTGCATGTATCTGCATCTTGAACGTGTCGCAGGAGGCTCACAGGCAGCCAACGAAGCCAGAGAAGCTGAGTGTCCCTGTCCCAGCATGAAGAATAAGTCTCAGCCAAGTGATTCCGTGCAGAAGATGCATCCGACCTGCAAGTAAGTCCTGATGCATTCAGCGTCGCGGCAAAGACTGTTAACTGTTAGCAGTTCGTGCCCCGAAGCCACAGGTGTTCTCTGATGCATGAGCTGTCATCCGCCTCGGGATAAATTGCTTGCTTTCATGAGGACATCTCTTCAGAAAATCCGGGGAATGCAGTGGCAGAGCCGTGCGAAACTGTTATCGCACCAAATTCAGTGAATGTGAACAGTCGACTGCGTCGTTGGCATAATTTCTATAACGTCTTCACAAACCCGATTCAATGCCGTTGAGCTAAAGCGGTCACACATCGTTAAAGTGTTAACGTTTGACCTTGTCGCGATCGAAACAGTGGATGAGTTGTCGTTTTCCAAATCAAGTGCGGTGCTTACATTGCACGAGAAAGCAGATTAGGCGAAGGTTGAATTGTGTTTTGTCTTTTGAACTTATAGCACGAATTCATTGCCGGTTCTTTGCAAACAAAGAGCAGAGAGGGAAACTAATCAGGACAAACACAGTTAATCTTTGCTGCCACCAGAAGCTACAAGGCGAAGAGCAAAACTGAATCCGATGTCCAATTTCTGGATTTCCAATCTTATCTGCTTTTCTTTGATCCCATAATTGGAGGAGATCCTGCTTTCCGTATTCTTTCAATATTTATTCGGGTTTTCAACGGCCAGAAGCTTCCACTCCCATGATGATCTCTGAGGTTTTACTTGCAATAGCCTGTTGGACGGGTTGGACGTCCCCTCTAGGCATGCAGCAACTAAGGGCGTGCTTCCTCTTCGTTTCACTACACCGTGCTTCTCTGCTGTTATGTGCAAGCTTCTCTTGTCTGCTAGCTGCTAGATGGGCTGGACTGATCAACAGTGCCAGGGTGGACAATGTTGACCTCAGCTTTCTCCCGTGTGTCCAGCTATCATTTACTGCACGTGTACTGTACATAGATACTTTATATATGCATACATATAGACAGATACTGTATTGCTATGTTCAGCTGTTATGCTTGTTATATCTTAGCACAGAAATTCTTCAGACTCGTGAACCCCGAACATTTCCGTTTGTAACTAACTGTCGATTCGCTGCGTGCCGGCGAACAGGAAAGCGTCGTTCGAACAGGGAAGCTACGCTTTGTCAGGTCGTGACATCTGCTGGACTGTGGCCTCACACATGCGACTGCGAGCTCGTTGGGAAAAGCTGGTTGACGCAATGAACCATTCGTTCGGGGACTGGTAGCTGCAGGGTTTCTGGGTATTTGGGTATATTTGGGTTTGCCGGCCGCATGACGTCGGTCGTACCATCGGGTTGCCACAACTTCAGCGGCTGCTGAATGGTTTAGCAGTGGTTTGTGGCGGTAGTGTCGGGACAATTTCAGTCGTAGTATAGGTCCCGGGCTATGTACGCCCAGTCGTTTGACATTGTTGCTCTGGTTCAGCCTCGCACTTCTGCACACGTTCGTGCAGTGCACTCGCCTGAGACTGACTACTTCTGCAGATGTCCTGTCAACCGAGAGAGACTGCAGCGCAGCAATGAAGGACTAGGAGGCGTACGACCAAATGCAACCGTAACAAAGCATATCTCATGTCTCCAAGCCAAATACCGCCGCCGATGACACGCCATCGCCGCTGGGTCCGGCAGCAGCTGGAGACGTGGGAGTGTCTTGGCGCACAACATGAGCGGTACTCTGCAAGGCTCGGCTCTGACAGCTCTGTCCGAGGAGCTGGCCCGACAGCGTTCACCTCGTCTTCGTGCGGAAGCTCGTCGAGGAACTCTCGGAGCAGTTGGATGTGGCTCAGGATGCTTCATCCCGGCAGCTCGCTCGCCTGTCTATCATGCGGAACCTCACCCCCAAGCGCAAAGGGAGAGCTGAATTTGAATCACGGAAGATGTCGTGCCAGATCAGGCAGATACTGAGTCTCCACGAGACTCAGTATGCCGGCTGCACGACATCCCCCATGAATGTTGGCCAGCAGGCACCTGCAGCACTAGCACGAGCCCAGGCACTGCAACGCGGAGCGGCCCCTGGCAGAGACCTGTGCTGCCCAGGCCAGACTTTGGGGAGCATGCAGTGTTTTCTCCCAGGCAGATGAGGTCAATGCTTGTCAGTCTGGGAGTTTGAATCATTGATTCAACATGGGCAACCGGGCAACCATGGAACATGATGGAACTTTGCCAAAAGGGGCCGACCTGTTCAAGCCAGGAGACCGTGGTGGTAAAGGATGGCGAACCCGCAATTGATGCTCCGCTCTTCCTGCCTTGTGGTACTGCAGGGATCCTTGGGCAGCAATGCGTCGTTTTTTCGACTCGTCCGCGTGGGTGTTCCCAGGCAATACACTCAGCGGGGACTTGAGAGCAAGCGACAAGTATCTATCTATCTATCATCTATCTATCATATATTCATATTATATATACATATATATATATATATGTATATTTGGCTTGTAGACTCACTGCTCTTCGTCCTACTCCACTATGCCGACAGCTGGCCCTCCCCCATCCCTGCCTCCACCGCTTCGCCAGCCTCATCAGCCCAGGCATTTCAATTCAGAGCGGCCCCTGGCAGAGAACTGTGCTGCCCAGGACACAGAGACCGGCTTGTGACATGGAGTTGCTTCCAGAGCAGTGCCACCTGAAGGTTCGCAGGTTGGGTTTGTCATTCAGGATAGCCCCCGGTGGAAGAGCAGCTACCTGTAGGACCTGTAGCTTCGTTGTTTCAGCGCGGCAATGAGTCGCTCAACGCTAACTTCTGCACAGCATCGTAGGAGCCATCGTTGTGGCTTTCGATCCCTCAAGAGCAGAGCGCAGACAGCGGCGATCTGTGCCTCGCTTGCAGTGGGCACCTCATGGCACCTCGAACTTCTCAGGGCCGTGCTGAAGAAAGCTTCCACAGGCATGAGGGCTGCCCCGTCGCTGCATCGACACCCCGTGCGGGCACCACAGAGCGCCTTGGGCCGCAATCCTTCTTTCCAGCTTTTCTGAGGGATGCTCGCAGCACTCTGCTGCCGAGGAGCCAGGAACCGAACCCTCAGTCGGACACTGAGCCACTGAGCTGTGCTGGCAGCACCTGCCTTGCGGACGCTCATCACTTTGTCTTCTAGTGATTCTGGTGTCGGCGAGCCGAGGACCCGCCCGGGCAGAAAAAGCAGCGGCGGCGACAGTGAAGCCAGCACGAGACTGCCCGACGGCAACAGCAGCGATTCAGACATCGACGAAGAGTGGTCGAGGGAGGAATTCGCCCCTCACGACCTCCTCATGTGCCTGGGCCGCATGTGAACTGCGTGCTTGCATCGACTTTCGGTTGCTTTCGGCGGATTCGCAGACATGCTGTGCAAGATCTCGTCCGCAGAAGCCTCAGGACAAATCTGTTGCCGTTCTTGAGCGCGGCTTGGCTGCGAAGTGGCCAGTGCAGGGGTGTCGACAAGACGTTGCAAGAGGTGTTGTCGGCGGATCCTTTGTGCATCTCTGCCCGCTACAGGTGCAGGAGCTGCGCAACTGGCGCGTACTCTCGCGGCTTACGCGGAGCCCCAAGGCCTGCGGTCCGACGCCTCCCTTTGCGTGCTCCTTTCTTGGAGATCTGTGCTTGAAGACGATAAACGTGCCACGCAGGCCTTGACAGCGCACGTGGCTGAGGTGGGCAGCATGGACAGGCTCGGAAACGGTTTTGCGAAGTAGCGTCAACATCGAGCGGTTTGTCGACATCCTTCTTGCATGTTGCGATAATTGCACGTCCCACTCGGATTTGATGAATTCCCGTTCTTTCAGCAAAAACGGAAGGACGGATGGTCCATGATTTTTGAAGACCCGTCGATCGATCGTCCTGTCTACCATACTAAAAGCAACCGGTGTTCGTCATGCCTTTGCTGCTGCTGCTGCTGCTGCAGAGTGAGCAAGCTGCGCAATGCAGATCAATGCAGCACATGCAGCACATGGACATGTTTTCAGACCCACAGTCATGCACAGCAGGTCGTATCATTCCCACCTTCATTGCACCGGCATGTTGAATCAAGCAAGTCACGGAGCTAGGCAGTTTTATCAGTCACGGAGTGACGCTGTACACTTGTGCAGGCCAGAACAGATTGTCGCTTTCGTGCAGCAGATGGATCTGGTCGGAAGTAACCCGGATACACTGTTCGCCGATGTCTTCCAGGGCGATGCGGAGCAGCAGAAGATGTACGAGTGCCTCTTGACTTATTGAACATGATTCACAGCCACATGCAGCCAGCACCTCCGTCTTACTGGCAGTGCAGGTGGAGACCTTAGACGCATCTGCTTCATTCTGAGGTCGGTGGTGGTCTACGGCCCTGGCATCCAAGAGAAAAACCAATTTCGCAGAAAGCCACGCTAAGCGCATTGTTCGCAAGAACCTCCGAAGTCTGCTTCGGCACTGCCGGAGTTCGGATGTGGCCGTTGCTGATGCCGCCATGCTCCTTGTAATGAACCATGCTGTTGAGGCCCTTCCTTTTGTGCAGGGACCTATTGCAGAAACCATGCTCGGCATGACGGAAGAACTTGTGGAGTCCAGCATTTCCATCAACAAGGACAAACTACTTTTTTGTGGCACGATTCTTGGGCTTGTACTGCGGGTGCTGAGCAAGCCTCAGCGTCAGAGGTGGGTGTCCCTTCTTGTCGAACTGCTGATGGACGAGGACTTTCCCAAACAGCCAGTGATCTGGCGGTTGAGGCTGCTCTGGCTTGCTGATGATGACCCCTTGCGAACCTACGCGGCGGTACGCCAGCAGCTGCGGCTTTATGCGAAGTCCGCCTCGAAGTGGGAGACTGATGTTAAGCTTCTCACCGACTGCAGCTGCTGCTGAAGTCTGTCTCCAAGAGCCAATGCGCAGCAAAAGAGGAATCAGTGCACGCGTGCAGCTTGCAACTATAACTACCACAGACATCACATGACCAGCATCACCATCAGCAGCATTGTGGCTCTGGTTCAGCCTCGCACTTCTGCACACGTTTGTTCAGTGCACTCACCTGAGAGGGACTACTTCTGCAGATGTTCTCTCAACCGAGAGAGATTGCAGCACTGCAATGAAGGACTGGGAGGAGAACGACCAAAGCTTGAAACAACTGAGAACATCGCTGGTCCGGCCGAGCCATGGGTTTGGCAGCAGAATGGCTGCCCATGGAACCAGCCACTCGCAGCAAAGACAAGGCTTGTAGATTAATCTGGCATCTGTTGCTCGAGTGATACGGAAGGTGTTGTCGTTGCTTCGCACGGGACAAATCCGCCTTTTTGGCATCCAGAAGTTTCAGATCGAGAAATCATCATCATCATCATCATCATCATCATCCGGCTCGTTCCTCAGCAGCCTTTTTCGAGAATACGCTGTTTGTGCGTGTTCCTTCAGGCAATGCCGGCCCTCTCCCGACGACAGCAAGGACATGTGTTCCAAGCCGTCCAGCAGGCGAAGAAACTCGAAGATCAATTGAGCATTGTCTCAACCGGCTCCTCTGAAACACTCTGCCTGCAGGTCGGAGAGGTGGTCACCGTGCGGAAACAGGGCTCGATGGGCTGGGCGGTAGTCTCCATGACAGATGTCAGAGTGAGACAGGCGGAGCGCATGACGGTGTTTCGACGGACATAAACACAGCTCTTCGGTTGGTATCTTCCGCACTTCAAGCCTACCACCTTGTGCAGGCCATCTGCAGTGAGCTTGGCCATCGGGCAGGTGCGACCTTGCCGCTACAGCATCGGAGCACTGAAGCTGGCAGTGAGCTGTGCGTGACGACACTCGATCAGAAGCGCAGCGCTGTCCGAAACCTCATTGCAGATCACGCTCGGCTTGGACGAAGCAAGCAGGCTGCTACGCATTATTTAAGTTGGAAGTCCACAATGCCTTGAGGGGATTCGGATCGTGTCATGGGGTGTGATGCATTCAGCTGGTGCTTGCCTGTGTGGTCAACCTTTGCCGAGCCATGTATAAACGAAATCCTCCAGGCAAGTGACGACGACGACTACGACGACTACTACTATTATTGATATTGCTACTCGTATTGCGATACTGTTAGTATTATCACCATTATCATGTCTGGTACTATTGCTACTGCTAACACTTCACTATTGTTTCTAGTATTGCTACCACTACAGTTACGATCACCAGTACTAGTAACACTTACCAGTACTAGTAATCTCTTAAGTACTATTGTCACCATTCCTACTACTGGCTCGTGCACACACATGCTCGGCAGTTGTCTTTCTTGTCCTAAACCGTCCGAGTCTTTTACTCCTGGTCCCTGTCCTGGTCCTAGCAGTAGGAGCAGTAGTAGAGTAGCGGTGGTAACGGTAGTAGGACTTTTAGTCATATTCGTAGTAGTAGTAACAGACTGCTACCAGTACTAGTAACAGTACTAGCTACTAGAACACACACGGACACAACTGGAAAAAACTACCGAACCAAACGGAAGAACACTTCCGATTTGATGTGGCGACCCAGAATCCATCACCGCCGCCTCTCTGCAAACTCTGCCTTCGGTCTCAGCATGCGGCATGGTGCGGCGCTTGTGGCCCCCCATATTCTCCGCCTGTTTGCATTAGCTCAAGAGATTGCTGGCTTAAGTTCCAGCTCTGTGCTGTTGAGTCCAATCATGTCCAATCGGTGAGATATTTGTCAGTTGAGGCGTCTGACATGGAGCTAGAAAAGGGCAGCTTCAACGTGAGCTCTTGTGACAGCTTGGTTACTGAGAAGGTGACGGCACTGTGCTCGCTCGCTTTGACATTGTTGCTCTGGTTCAGCCTCGCACTTCTGCACACGTTCGTGCAGTGCACTCGCCTGAGACTGACTACTTCTGCAGATGTCCTGTCAACCGAGAGAGACTGTAGCGCAGCAATGAAGGACTAGGAGGCGTACGACCAAATGCAACCGTAACAAAGCATATCTCATGTCAGAACTGCTCTCTAAGCTAAATGCCGCCGCCGATGACACGCCATCGCCGCTGGGTCCGGCAGCAGCTGGAGACGTGGGAGTGTCTTGGCGCACAACATGAGCGGTACTCTGCAAGGCTCGGCTCTGACAGCTCTGTCCGAGGAGCTGGCCCGACAGCGTTCACCTCGTCTTCGTGCGGAAGCTCGTCGAGGAACTCTCGGAGCAGTTGGATGTGGCTCAGGATGCTTCATCCCGGCAGCTCGCTCGCCTGTCTATCATGCGGAACCTCACCCCCAAGCGCAAAGGGAGAGCTGAATTTGAATCACGGAAGATGTCGTGCCAGATCAGGCAGATACTGAGTCTCCACGAGACTCAGTATGCCGGCTGCACGAGATCCCCCATGCTTGCCAACTGCACTGGCATGTTGGTCAGCAGGCACCTGCAGCTCTAGCACGAGCCCAGGCACTGCAACGCGGAGCGGTCCCTGGCAGAGAACTGTGCTGCCCAGGCCAGACTTTGGGGAGCATGCAGTGTTTTCTCCCAGGCAGATGAGGTCAATGCTTGTCAGTCTGGGAGTTTGAATCATTGATTCAACATGGGCAACCGGGCAACCATGGAACATGATGGAACTTTGCCAAAAGGGCCGACCTGTTCAAGCCAGGAGACCGTGGTGGTAAAGGATGGCGAACCCGCAATTGATGCTCCGCTCTTTCTGCCTTGTGGTACTGCAGGGATCCTTGGGCAGCAATGCGTCGTTTTTTCGACTCGTCCGCGTGGGTGTTCCCAGGCAATACACTCAGCGGGGACTTGAGAGCAAGCGACAAGTATCTATCTATCTATCATCTATCTATGTTCATTATATATATATATATACATATATATATATATATATATATATTTGGCTTGTAGACTCACTGCTCTTCGTCCTACTCCACTATGCCGACAGCTGGCCCTCCCCCATCCCTGCCTCCACCGCTTCGCCAGCCTCATCAGCCCAGGCATTTCAATTCAGAGCGGCCCCTGGCAGAGAACTGTGCTGCCCAGGACACAGAGACCGGCTTGTGACATGGAGTTGCTTCCAGAGCAGTGCCACCTGAAGGTTCGCAGGTTGGGTTTGTCATTCAGGATAGCCCCCGGTGGAAGAGCAGCTACCTGTAGGACCTGTAGCTTCGTTGTTTCAGCGCGGCAATGAGTCGCTCAACGCTAACTTCTGCACAGCATCGTAGGAGCCATCGTTGTGGCTTTCGATCCCTCGAGAGCAGAGCGCAGACAGCGGCGATCTGTGCCTCGCTTGCAGTGGGCACCTCGAACTTCTCAGGGCCGTGCTGAAGAAAGCTTCCACAGGCATGAGGGCTGCCCCGTCGCTGCATCGACACCCCGTGCGGGCACCACAGAGCGCCTTGGGCCGCAATCCTTCTTTCCAGCTTTTCTGAGGGATGCTCGCAGCACTCTGCTGCCGAGGAGCCAGGAACCGAACCCTCAGTCGGACACTGAGCCACTGAGCTGTGCTGGCAGCACCTGCCTTGCGGACGCTCATCACTTTGTCTTCTAGTGATTCTGGTGTCGGCGAGCCGAGGACCCGCCCGGGCAGAAAAAGCAGCGGCGGCGACAGTGAAGCCAGCACGAGACTGCCCGACGGCAACAGCAGCGATTCAGACATCGACGAAGAGTGGTCGAGGGAGGAATTCGCCCCTCACGACCTCCTCATGTGCCTGGGCCGCATGTGAACTGCGTGCTTGCATCGACTTTCGGTTGCTTTCGGCGGATTCGCAGACATGCTGTGCAAGATCTCGTCCGCAGAAGCCTCAGGACAAATCTGTTGCCGTTCTTGAGCGCGGCTTGGCTGCGAAGTGGCCAGTGCAGGGGTGTCGACAAGACGTTGCAAGAGGTGTTGTCGGCGGATCCTTTGTGCATCTCTGCCCGCTACAGGTGCAGGAGCTGCGCAACTGGCGCGTACTCTCGCGGCTTACGCGGAGCCCCAAGGCCTGCGGTCCGACGCCTCCCTCTGCGTGCTCCTTTCTTGGAGACCTGTGCTTGAAGACGATAAACGTGCCACGCAGGCCTTGACAGCGCACGTGGCTGAGGTGGGCAGCATGGACAGGCTCGGAAACGGTTTTGCGAAGTAGCGTCAACATCGAGCGGTTTGTCGACATCCTTCTTGCATGTTGCGATAATTGCACGTCCCACTCGGATTTGCTGAATTCCCGTTCTTTCAGCAAAAACGGAAGGACGGATGGTCCATGACTTTTGAAGACCCGTCGATCGATCGTCCTGTCTACCATACTAAAAGCAACCGGTGTTCGTCATGCCTTTGCTGCTGCTGCTGCTGCTGCTGCTGCTGCTGCAGAGTGAGCAAGCTGCGCAAAGCAGATCAATGCAGCACATGCAGCACATGGACATGTTTTCAGACCCACAGTCATGCACAGCAGGTCGTATCATTCCCACCTTCATTGCACCGGCATGTTGAATCAAGCAAGTCACGGAGCGAGGCAGTTTTATCAGTCACGGAGTGACGCTGTACACTTGTGCAGGCCAGAACAGATTGTCGCTTTCGTGCAGCAGATGGATCTGGTCGGAAGTAACCCGGATACACTGTTCGCCGATGTCTTCCAGGGCGATGCGGAGCAGCAGAAGATGTACGAGTGCCTCTTGACTTATTGAACATGATTCACAGCCACATGCAGCCAGCACCTCCGTCTTACTGGCAGTGCAGGTGGAGACCTTAGACGCATCTGCTTCATTCTGAGGTCGGTGGTGGTCTACGGCCCTGGCATCCAAGAGAAAAACCAATTTCGCGGAAAGCCAAGCTAAGCGCATTGTTCGCAAGAACCTCCGAAGTCTGCTTCGGCACTGCCGGAGTTCGGATGTGGCCGTTGCTGATGCCGCCATGCTCCTTGTAATGAACCATGCTGTTGAGGCCCTCCCTTTTGTGCAGGGACCTATTG